ACCAATCAGACAAGGACAGATTAATGAATGACTTCGCTACCTTCCTAAGCAAGAAGCAAACGGTCTACTAGCTAGGAGGTATTCACAGTTCCTTTTCTTGAGGCAAGCATTGAAAGGAACATCAGCTTCGCTTCTTGGCAATATGCCAGCTATTGGAGAGAATTACGATAAAGCCATATATATCTTCTCGATAAGCGCTTCAACAAGTCTGGATGCATAGCAGTTCTGCTTATCACAGTGCTCGAAAGGAGTAGAAAAAGAGCCCACAGCTGCAGACAAGTCTGATTAGAGTGACCGAAAAGCTCACTCACATCGAATGTGCAGTAGTTCCCTTGAACCAACCAAATGTGGAGGTGACTAATACTTTCAAAGTTTGCAAACTCGCTGAACGAGAAAGAAGTACTTAGCAAAGAGCAGAATGAGGAAAAATTATTCGCAACAGAGGAGATCTTGGATATTCTGGAGAATTCAGTCGCTTTGAAGGAAACCCTCGCTTTCACAACATTTGCATTTGAACAGTGCGATGTCACAGGACGTTCGATTCCGATCAAGCTGTTGATGAGGCAGAACTACGAGGAAGACTCTGTCGCATACAATCTGAAAAGTACATCGCCGAGAGATTCGAGTGCTCAGTGCATTTGCGAAAGTTATCAACATGATGCGACGCATTGCACAACATTCCAAACAGCAGTAGAACGACGTGACGAAACTAGGAAACAAAGGCTGTGCTTCAAAATGTCTTCAAACCGATCACAGGATCAGTGACTGCACAAGCTCACCATCATGCTACAAGTGTCACGGAAACCATCACACGGCCGTATGCATGAATGGTTATTCAGAAGCAAAAAGCACCCCAAACAGGCGATCACAGCAACAAGTGCTTACAATCAATATTCGAGAGGACTGGAATTTGTGCAAAATTTTGAAGTTCTGCGCAATGAGAGCACAGCAAAGCGAGGAGGAAGGCAGCACGTATTGATGACGGCGACTGGGCTCGCGTACGACTACATCTTGACCAGCTATAAGCCCGTAACTGTTTTCTTTGATGGAGGCGCACAAAAGAGCTTCATCAATACAAGAAAGACGGTTGCGCAGCAAATGGTACCCAGGCAGCCGACTGCTGCCATAGCCAGCCGCCAGAGCCGCCGGCAAATCACTGCAGATGGTACAGTAATTACGCTCGTCGTCTAAAACCCCTGCCTAGAGGTATTTTCGCATCTAGCCGCTCTGAGGTGAGATATCAACCTCAGGAAAGCGTGATATTCTCGATATCTATATTTTGAACGCAGAAATTCCATTTTTTTTGATAACCTGCAAATAACCAAAGGTAAACAGAGGAGTTTTTTTAAAGGAAGATGATCACAAATTCAAACCACTTCAAAAACTCAAAGGAAGCAGAAGCCAAAAAAATATAGGAATTTTTAAATTTCTAGAGATTTTTTTCTCGCTTTTGCGTCGAACGTCACTTCTCTTCTTCTTTACGTCGTACGTCCCTCCAGAGACTTTGAGAAAATAAAAAAAAATAATGATGAAAAAATTCGTTGCGAAATAATAAAAGTTCAAAATTGAAAGAACCACCTCTGGTAACCCTTCAACAAACCAATTTAATTTCTAAGAATTCTTCATTGGAAAATTAAGGATTCTTAGAACTACACCGTTAATGGACATTTATTGTACCTTGATTAAATTTTTTAACAGAAAAAACTGTTTGATTTCCTATTTATCCATTTTTGCAATAGTTTGTGATCTGAACACTCTCCGGTGTAGTTTTGTACTCGACTGCATGGTTCTCAATGAAATATGGCATTTCTCTGCTGTTCAAAATGATTAGATATCGAGGTTATCACGCTATCATTGACCTACTCAATCTGATTGTCCTACTTTGCCTTATTTAGCTCTCTTAACATCACTATGTATGAAATATCTTACCGTTATATCCATGACATTTTCCCGTAATTTCTCATCCGCTCTTCAACGTAAAACCGAGAAAAAATCCAGAAATTTGAGAATTTCTAAAATTTTCAGCTTCTGCTTCTTGAGTTTTGAAGTGGTTTGATTTTGTGATCATTTTCCTTTGGAAGAATTTTCCTCTTTTTACCTTTGTTTACTTGCATATCTATCAAAAAGCATGAATTTTTTCTTCTGTCTGAAATGACATGGATATTAAGGATATCATGCTTTCCTGAGGCTGATATCGCACCTCGAGCGGCGAGGTGCGAGAAAACCTCTCGGCAGGAATTTTACACGACGAGCGTAATTATTGTACCATCTGCAGCGGCTTTGCCGGCAGCTCTGGCGGTTGGCTGCGGCAGCAGTCGGCTGCTTGGGTACCACTTGAACGCCTCCCAAGAAGGACGCAAGCTCTTGGCTTACCAGTGCTGCAAAACAACACTTTCAGGATTGGCGCCTCCGGAGGATCTACCGCACATTTCACATCCAATGAAGTCCCGCTTACGCTGAGAACAACGCCTGCTGGAGTCGCTATCAAAGCTGTAAAGATACACACAAAATCAAAACTCACTTCCGCGATGAGCACAGCTTGGTTAAGCGCAGAAGACAGAAAGTGGATCCAAAAAAAGAAAATTCAAATAGCACAACCAGAATTGAAGATGCGAGGTTTACACCGGATATTCTCAATGGTCAAGATCTCATTGACCAGTCTATCCTGAGAAGTCAACCATGTACAATTCTTCTATCTGGTCTAATTCTGACGCGTACTGTCTTCGGTCATGCAATATCAGGAAGTAGCCAACAGCCCGCTGGAGTCGCTGTTGCGAAACTTTCGCAAAAACTGCAATCGCGGTAGCTTCCAGTGCTCGTGCTCGTACTTCAAGCAAAGGAAATTCGAAAGCAACTAAAAACCGCGAACAGCTTGAGTATGCAGCTTTCAAACCCCGCGCAAAGAAGCTCACTCATCCGGTCAGGAAGCGGATACCCGCAGAGCCTATAGAGTTACCAACGAAAAGCCGAAGCGATCAATGTAACAACGTTATAGATGGACTCCAGCGCAGTCGCAAACATTAGAAATCAAGGACTCATGGACAGCTCGTGAAGAAAAATACTGATTCATTAGAATGTTTCTCCTCAACGATGCGTCTGGCCCCGAAGGCCGATCATGGCACGACGGCAGACCACCGTAAGATTCTCAGACGAAGAGAGGATTATAAACCCGTGAATCATATGAAATATGTTAACTTAGCTCTTGTGATGATGTAATTTCAAGAATATGCTTCTGTAACGACTACCCCCTTACTTTTACGCCTTCCGTCCCGCGCTCCACTGTCGTAGATTATCTTAATAATCTACAATCTTTACCAGTGTAGAGTCATCATGTAGTTTATATCCAGTATCTATTAGCTCGTCGTTGGCAAACATTACTGCTCACTGACCACTTAAGCCGCCAGGTCACCCCTTCACTGGGCTTGATAAGCTACTTGGCGGCACCTACTTTCATGTAGGCAATCCTTGATTCTGTATGATACTGCTGTTTGCCAGAAATGAGCATTCAGGCCAACCACGCCCAAAACAGTGGCATGTAAGGGCCTGAATACTAGTTCTGTTGTTGGTTTGATTATCACCACTATCGTCAGCGGCTGTTCCGCATATTCACTGTTGATAGTTAGTGGCTGCTCCGCGCTACTATTTAATAAACAGTAATACAACGTAGTGGCACCAATTTGGTCTGTATCAAACATGTATACTGGTAGAGAATTCCGAGAAACTTTTTCGTATCAGGCGTACAGGGCTTATTAAATGAAGTGTCGCTTGCCCCAGCATCTCCACTGCCGCGCTGAACTCTGCGTCTCTTTCGCGAAACATGTTCCCTTATCACTTCCAATCAATTGAGACTCCGCCTTTCCCATGCTCGCCCTGGGAAAGTACTCAAAGAGCATGTTCGTGGAAGAGACGTAGAGTCCAGCGCGGGAGTGGAGATGCTGAGGCAAGTGACACTTCATTTGATAAGCCCTGTACGCGGCTTCACAATGGATAGGGTGTTTGCCGAAAGTTGATCTGAAGAGCTTTTGATTAGCGTGTCACACGAGCGCTATGACTCAAAATCGAGTTGCTGTGCCCTCCGGCCTCACCATCACTGCGGGTTGAGTCCCTGTGTCTTATGCACAAGTCAAGAGCTCACCGATTCCTCACATTCTCATTTCTAAGGCCGGAGTATACAAACTTTTCCTATTCGTGTCGTTCTCTGCACTCTGAAGAACGTGCGGTGACGAACAGACCAAGGCAGTACAGTTTCCCATAGCCTACGTTTATTGTCAGTTCAGAAGATTTTTATGCTCGCTGAAATTTGTTGCTGATCCTTCCCTAAAATTGATTTTTGTGGATAGATTGTTGACTGATGTTTTCAACGAAAAATAACCAACAAGCGGCCTTCCGCTGACAGTCTTTCCAGCAAACTGCGAGCCGCGCTCGAGAAATCAATCACCTGTCTCCAAATACCTGCCTACCGCCGATTAAAAAATGAGGTCTCGTCTATGTACAACTAAGTCCAAATCGTGCGCGCTGATGTCGGAAGTAAACCTCATGCAGAACCTCAAGGGATAGAAAAAATACACTTCTAGCGGTTGGACTGCGGAAATTTCTGGGGGAATATTCATGATTTTAACCTGCTTCTTTTTCGACACAAAAGATAGCATTGCTGAGAGCCTAAATTGTCATATTTCTGGTTCGACTCTTCGAAATATTGAATGCGGCACCTTTGAAGTCGTGTTGGTAAAGGGAAATAACAACAACACTACGAAGGAAATTTCTTCCACATGTCTGTTTAGGTACCATCGGCATGATGAAGGAGTGTGTAATGGCAGCAACTGATTGCACCTTTTTAGTTAGTTTCTTCAGCCCTTTCGTAACGTTTAAGTGAGATACAACTGCTATGTAACTGTCAATAATCTACTCTGTTCTATACACCATGGCTAGCGTTTCAGTTCTGCAAAAAAAGAAATGTAGCAATCATATCGATATCGTATTACACAACATAGTTAGATGACGTTTATGAATTTTGTAAAACTTATAATCTACACGTTCACTTGATTTTACTAATATATAGAGATTCTTTTTATAATACTGATTGTGAAGAAAATGTAAGGCACAGGTTGAACCGAATGGTTATCAAGCGTATTCTACATAGAAGATTGTAATAAATAGAATCTGTGCACATTATATTTGTTCGTTTCTCGGGTACTGCGCACTTCTGAGCAAATCCACCATGGAAGCGTATGACTCTGAACATTGTCGACTTCAAATATACCTAATCGTAAGATAAAAAGCGAACTCACAGACTATCTACTTCTGCGGAAAACGCGGTCTACGCCCGCGACAACTCATTAATGACGCAATTTTTGAAAAATTTCCATCCCCAAGGCTTCTCTAACTTTCCCTGAAACACGTGAATGAAATTCGAGGTTTGCTGTAGAAATCTTAAATACAAATCTTACCTTCAAACCTCTATGAAGCCTGTCATTCATCACAGCTAGAAATTCAGGATAACTGAGGGTTTGATCATTGTTGGCATCAAAGATACGGAATATCAAGGTTACTATATATGGGTCAAGAGGTTCACCTGAAACAAATTTCGGAAGGTGCACATGTGATAAACCGCTCCTATGAGTAAGCAACTATATTACCCATATCATTTTGTATATGACCGTTCTCCATTCAGTAGCTTCGAAGCAAAAAGATTGGATCTATACACTTACCTACAGTACTTTGCACGGCACGAGCAAATTCAGCGGGCGACACGGGCATGTCAGCATTTGCATAAAGTCTAACGGCTGTAGAAAATTCTTCAAGATTGTTGAGGAACAAGGAGAAACGAGATCACTGGCTCAGCGTTACGCCCTTAGAAAGGACTGAAGCAATTTTTACATCTCCTGCCAATAGACCCACTTTATCGTCTGGAGAGGTACGTTCTTTGACTCGACTTATGTAGGTGTGGTAATCGTCCTGATGTACGATGGTATACCTAACATTTGTCTACATATTCGGATTATTACAGATGAAAGTCCTCTAAGAACAATTGTTTTAAAGCCACTTTCAAAAGTACCTCAGAACTAAGCGAGCGAAATCCATTGGGGATATGGTAGGTTTGCCACGAGCAAACTCATGGAACTCTATCTCCATTATCTCCTCTTGTAGATTCTCATAAAAGCTATAATAAATAGTTTCGATTATACATGTAGTGGATTTATCAGAATCAACCAGCGGCGGACTGAGCCCCCCCCCCCCCTCCCCCCTGGAATGAGTCGCGAAATTTTTGAAATTTACTCACATGTGTTGTAAAAATGTGCAAGTAACTTGTTTATTCTTGCAAAAAATTTGAATAATTTTTGAAAATATTTGAAAACTCAAATTAGCCCCATAAAAAAATTCATTCAGGGGTGTGCTGCCACGCCTCCTTCTTTCAAACTTTAGGGGTTTTTGCCCCCAAAAACTAGAAGAGTACCCCAAAACTCCAAAATTTTTTTGGAGTGCGGCTTTTTTGGCTTACACCATGTACCTTCATTTCAGGAAATTTGAGCCTCCTCCCCCCTCCCCCCCCCCCCCCTCCCGCGAACGAAAACCTTGGACCGCCCTGGAAACTCATAATTTATGCAAGGAAACAATACCTACCGCCTAAACTCTTCGAAAGATAACTTTCCATTACCATTCATGCCGAATAAATGCAGCAACAATGTCGTGTCCTGCTTTTTGACTTCGTCCTCGCTTTTCTTGGAAAAGGGGTAAAGGTTAACGGTAGAACTACACTAACAAAGTTCGATTTTTGTGAACACAACTTTAGGAAATTATAAAGAAAACCAACTGGTACAAGGCAAGTTCCGTGCAGTTGAGCGGAGCGCGCAGCAAACATTCTAGAGATCTAAAAATACGATGATGGTGCTCTTCTGTTCTATGGAAATTTCCAACAAAAAATCGCGCTGCGTTGATGGTACCACACAAGACGAACTGAATAATGTGAGAAAATCACCATCAAGCATTATTCACAAACACAAACGATAAACTAGCTACGCATTGCTACAACACTGAAAAGAGTTCACACTAATATCGTGTCTGTAAACCCTCCATGAGATGTGACAAAGTGATGAAAGAGGAGGAACATGATAATTTTTGCCGCGAAAGCATGATCAAGATACTAGTAGCAGCCAATAATTTCCATATCAACTCTCTACGATACTTTGGATTCTCCTTCGCCATAATCACTTTTCCGTGTATTGATATTTTGCTTATATTCTCTGATGCTCCGTCTTCTCCTCTGCACGGAACACTACCAGCAAAAATATAGATTCTCGAAGTCTTACTGTATAAAGAAGAGCATATGAGTCAGACCCTTCAAAAAGTCGTTGACGATAACGTGATACCATAAATTGAAAATCGCTGATATCCAATTGACATGGCTAGAATTAGGCAGTTATAAAGCAAAAAATTTGTGAGGAAATTTGTTGAATTAGTTTGTAAACCGTCAGAACGTACATCTTCTGAACGATTTTGTTGCGGGCCACGGGTGGAACGAAGTGAAGACGTCAAGCTACGTATCTAAAGACCACTACATAGCAATAATCTTTTGAATTGCCTATGTTATGTTTTTCAGGAGTTTGAGGTTGCACATGCACAAGACACAAGCAGGGTAGAACGACAGCAATGTATAGGGCATTCATAAAATCGTGACAATAGTCTGACCACGCGCGCCGCGTATGCGATTTTTGGACTCCATTTGTAATCGAATGATTTTTTGAATATATCCTCGAGACATTCGTAACTTAATATGCGTGTTGTTCCCGTACGCGCTACTTCACGAACTTGTAAGGTTGTAACCTACTCATTTCCAATAACTTCAGCTTGTTTTCCTGCCGCTTTTGGTTCGAGATATGTACTGAATAGTTTTATACGCTTTTTAGGTACAATTTATTCTACAAAAGGTTTCACTGGGGAATTTATATGAGTAAAGCTGAATGCCTGTTACATGTTCGTCTGCACGTATATCCCAAAAAGAAATTTTTGCTTTAAACCAATCAAAACCAAATCTGGCATACGTACTTTTCGGTACGGTGCGAGTGCGATACAAGTAGACGGAATAAAACAAGTGGCGATCAGTTGTACGACACGCGTGGGGACGAGGATTAGAACAAGTCGAACAGAAGCTTTTCTTAAAAGAATGGCACCAAGTCGAGCACTTCACTGGAGCAAATGTTCGCTCAGCTGATGCAGCAAAATGGTGCACCTGAAGGCCAACCAGGAACAGTCTGAGCAACTCACAACCGATAGACCATTCAGCAGCTCCTATGATCGCCGAATAGCTGACTACTCAGCATTTTCTTCGCGACTGCCGTGCTTCAGGGGGGGGGGGGGCGGGGGAAGTTTCTCATCCGAGCCATATTCTCGCACCTAAGTGATGTGCCTGCTAGGCACATCCGAGCTCGCTACAGTTACGATCCGCAGCAGACCAAGACATCGCAAGCCCCGCCCCCTCATTTAGTGTTCGCTCCAAATGATGAAACCGGAATTTTCAGGAAACTTTCGAAATCGAAGTTCAGAAGTAAATTTGCTCCAATCAAGATCAAATTTAGGATTGAAGGGTTTTCGAGGTTGCTCTTTTCAGTAGTGTGATTTGTTTGTTGCAAAGTTGATGTTTAGCAAAGATGATGCTTTACCAAGATTAAAATTTGGCTTTGGAGGTTTTCAATTTTCTATTTCAATACAAGACCAAAATTCAGGTTTGAGGATTCTCAAAATCGTCTTTTCGATAACGGTATATGTTTTGTGCAATATCAACAGGATTTGTTTTTTGGACAATTTTTTGGAGAAAAAAAATGTTCTTTTCACAAAAACCGGATTACTTTCGTAGAGTTGTGCCAGATGCAGGAACACGTACATATGTGATTCCGTAGTGTTTTCTTCTCCTGACCTCATTCTCAAGAATATGTCAAGTACAACACGTATAATGACCCAGCCAAGTACTTCTTGAAATCTGATATAGCACAGGTCACTGAGGTTATCGAGGCTGGCTCAATGCCAGACAGCTTCATAGTAGACGTAGGAAGCTCGGAGTAGTGTCAAACAATAGAGAAAAACATCTTTATTATTTTGGAAACATTTAAATTCAAACTTGTTCTAGTTTTTAGGAAAAAATTTCATATAAATCCACGCCATGGATATTTTTCAATTGCCCATTCATAAAAGTTCGAGAACCCTTAAACCTGACTTTTGGTCTTGTATAAATAGAAAATTGAAAACCTCCAAATCCGAATTTTAATCTTGGTTAAGCATCATCTTTGATAAACGTCAACTTTGCAACAAACAAATCACACTACTAAAAAGAGCAACTTCAAAACCCCTAAATCCGAAATTTGGTCTTGATTGGAGCAAATTCACTTCTGAACTCCGATTTTGAAAGTTTCTTTGAAATTCTGGTTTCATCATCTGGAGCGAACACTAAGTGAGGGGGCGGGGCTTGCGGTGTCTTGGTCCCCTGAAGAGCTCATAACTGTAACGAGCTCGGATGTGCCTGGCAGGCACATCAGTTAGGTCCGAGAATATGGCTCGGGTGAGAAACTTCCCGCACCCGTGCTTCAGTTGTGATACGAATAGCGGGTGCATCTTCGAGTGCTGGCTCTGAGACTCGAAAAATCGTTCCAGCGTCGATGCCGGAGAAAGGCCGCTGTCCCCTATTGTCCGCGAAGCTGGATAATGCCGCACACGCCAAGCTGAGAGGGCACCAGGCTCCAAAGTCACCGATAGAGCTCTCGTTTGAAAAGCTGAAAGTGCTGACGTCGCTTTTCGGCGAGAGAACGACGCTGTTTTGGCGCCAATGGAACTGCTTCCAGGGCGAAGGAACCCTCGGAAGACGTGGAATCGTACGCGGTATAGTTAAAACCGAATATTCGTTTTCGAATAATTTATTCGAAATATTCGACTATTCGAATATTCGAATAGTCGAATAATTAAGAAAGTCCGTTTATTCGAGTATTCGAATACTCGAATAAATGAAAAAGGCCTGTATTGGAATAATTCATTTAATCGACGATTTGAAAAAATGAGTTATTCGAATATTCGTTCATTCGGAGTTTTGAATGACAGCTATTCGAATACTCGAATACTGAATATCATTTATTCGAACATTCGATGTCAAAATAAAACTTTAGCTGTTCTACATTGAGTGCAAGTATATCCCTGATCGGTCAAACATACAAATCTTATATATAAAGCTGAATGTCTGTTTGTCTGTCTGTCTGTCTGTATGTATGTATGTATGTCTGTGTGTACGTATGTTCCGAATAGAAAATTCCATTTCTGAACCGATCGGGACCAAACTTAGCACACATACACTTCGGGCCCCGGCGGGTGTCATAGGCTACTTTTCGCCATCGATCGATGTCGATTTTATCGATTTTTTGCAAAATTTGAGCTACGGGGCTGGGAGTTGGCACAGGGAGGTAATCGAGCATGCTGATCACCCCCGTGGGGGTGATCAGCATGCTCGATTACACCCCCCTGCCAAATTTCAGCCCCCTAGCTCAAATTTTGCAAAAAATCGATAAAATCGACATCGATCGATGACGAAAAGTAGCCTATGACACCCGCCGGGGCCCGAAGTGTATGTGTTTCAAATTTGGTCCGGATCGGCTGAGAAATGGAATTTTCTATTTGGAACATACGGCGGAGCCGGGTAAGCCAGCTAGTGGGTCATATGACAGAATGTCTAGCAAGGTTCCCTTTTTAAGGCAATCGTGAGTAATGCCAGAGAATAGTGATGGCAAGTCTTATGCATACGCAAATACCTCCAAACTCAGATTTGGATGAAGAAGCAAAGCGTTATTAGGCGCCACTTTAGCGGACTACTGGTCCTCAAACAGGTTGCATAAGCACGTGAGGGACCAGCAATTTGAGGCAGCACGAATTGGCAACATTCATTCCTTTATCCAAAGATCTCTTTTTACCTTGCCAGCATAACCATTGCCCGCTTGTAAAAATACCTGAAATGCGTTAACCAGCGAAAGGCTAGAGCAAGGCGGTCACGAGCGCCTGAGACGCTTGACTGGTGGCGGCAGCCTGTATGTCAGTCACCATAACAAGGGAATGGTCAGAAGTCGAAGTGGCCAAACCAAACAAGCTAAATACCATTTGATGCAACATAAAACTCTGACTTCCAATCTGTCTTTCTTATCTGCTTACCGCTTCTGTGTACGAAGCTACAAGCATTTTTAATGCGAAAAAATTGTACATAAAAATTGCAAATTGAGCACATTGTTGCACTTTTAACTCAGCTTTAGGCTTTAAGGATTTGAAGTAACCTAGTTGCATGGGCCCAGCACTGGACCGAACATGGCTTCGTACGGCCAAACTTTCACTTTCACGCATGATTTCTTAGCAAAATAGTGGCTTATAGCTTCGTCCAGAAAAGCGACAAGCAGATAAGGAAGACATCAGACTCAACGCTTCATGATACATCTAATGGTTTGCAGCCTGTTCGGATTGGCCAGTCAGATCGGCGCTTTATAGTCAGTAAGCGAAAAAAAACTAGGGTCAAAATGTTGCAGAGTTCATGGAAGAATAATTCGTTGAGTAGGTGTGTAAGTTGAACAATAGTTATTTTGAACCTAAGTAAAAGATGTGGAGGATCCCTTGCAAGAAAATGCAAACCTCAGAAATGCAGTTAAAACAGCTTTGTGAAAATTCAATCCTACAACAGAAACTGTGAAACTCAGCGACTGATAATTTCCGACAAGTTTACAAACAATTACCTATTCCAAAAGGTTTTCCATGTTGAATTTGTACCTTTGGGATAAGGTTCTGTGTAGCTTCTGGAGGAACTATGTGAAAAGGAAAAAATGCGGACTTGAAAGCTGCTAAGTAAAGCTTATTAGCCCTCCTAAAGGACATCTTAAGTGCGTGCTTCTGTGAAATTCTTCCGTTCTTTTTAGGTAGAATCGTGACCAAGCGACAGTAACCCAGTCATCCTTACCACTTGCTACGCATCAGCTATAAACCATCAGCTATAAATCTAGATCAAATATAGCGACTACGGAAATCAGAAATATTTGAGCCACCAAAATATTTTGAATTATTCGAGTAATCGAATATTCGACCATATGTAGTTATTCGATTATTCAAATGGTCGAACATTCGAGCAACCCCATTTATTCGTTCATTCGAACTTTGAAATGTAGCATAATATTCGAATTCGAATAATCTGAAAATCACAGATCGAATAATATTCGTTCGTTCGAATATTTTTCAAAAACTGATTATTCGATATTCGTTCGTTCGACGGAATTTTCCGCTCGTTTCAACTATAGTACGCGGTTAAAGGCAGCATCCAGGCAGATCCGAGCTCGACGACCACGCCCACTTCCCTCGGACGGCCAACCCCTTATGAACGAAATCTCCTCAGCCTTGACGTGTTTTCATATGACCAACACAGTCGAATTTACAACGTTTACCTGTTAATACTTGCTTTCGACAAGGATAACATCAGAAGCACTCGTCCGGGTTTTCCCAAAATAGCCCCAAAAGGTGGTTTTCTGAAAAATTCAAGCTTTCTGAGTTCCATATTCGGAATCAGCGCCATGGAAAGGCCTGGATAACATAAAAATATAAAAGTCGAGAATCTGCCTGGACGCTGCCTTTAACACAACAAGATACTGATCGATGCCAAAGCAGACAAAATGAAAGGTAAGCCGCTGAAATGCCTCCTTTTCGTCACGGTTTGCAGTTTCCGGCGCTTTGCCAATTCGTGCAAGTTTGAGCAAATTGGACGCCGAGGCCGATAGCTACAAGCTGCAGAAAATGATTACCGACCACAACGCCTATTAGTCCGTGCGAAAGCATGCTGCTCTCATAAGATGTTGTCCTGCGGCCGTTCTAGCGTTGACCACAGCCGCAACGCACCACACGCTCATCTGAAGCAAAGATTGCCTGAACCTTCCCGCCGTAAAACGTGTGCTACACCTGTGGAAACAAAGGACACTGGGCCAAACTGCCCGTCAAGAAACCGACCAGCCCGCCGTTGCTTAAAAAAAGTTGTGGAGTTGAACGTGCCAAACTCACATCGTCGATACGTAAATATCATGCTGAAAGACTTAGATGTGAAGATGCAAATCAACACCGGTGCCGACGTATCGACAATCAGCCGCAGACGTGGATGGAGTTGGGGTGGCCAACCTTGAAGCCCCCCCCCCCCCTGCCGAATTGGGAGCTGAATGGATCACTTTGAAGAATTTGGAGTTCATGAGATGCCGTTTAAATGCAATGGTTTCGATAGCCAAGGACTATTATATGTCACAAAGGACCTGTGTTTGCTAAGGCTGACATGCTACAACAGCTGCCGCCCTAAAATGCTTCCCCTGCTTTTTGTTGTGTCGTGGATGCCTCTTCGCCACTGTACGACCGCCTTGCGGCTAATTTCCAGAAGTCTTCAAAAAGGAGCTAGGACGCGTTAACAAGTTCAAGACAACTTGTTTTGAAGAAGGATGCCATATCAGTCTACGTGCTGAAGCGTTTGAAGTAGAACTCTTGTCAACGCAGAGTTGGACTGCCTTTCGTAACTGGAGTACTGTTATCCGTCGATTATTCACAGGGCCGCTCCCATCTCTTCGTCAAAAAGAAGGATGGAGCAGTTCGCATTTATGCCGACTTCTCCAACAGACTAAACGATGCACTACTGGAGCTGAACCGATACCCACTGCCAACCGCGAAAAACATCCTTAACAAGCTGAGTGAAGGAACAGTCTTCACAACATCGATCTGCGTGACCCCTAACTGCAAGTGGAAATGGACGACGAGAGCAAGAAACTGTTGACCGTCAACACGTCCCGAGGACTCCTCCGCTGCAACCGTCTACGTTCAGCGTAAAAAGTACCCTCGGGATCTTCATATCGTTAATGAGCAACGTCACCGCTGACATAAACGGGGCCGTTGCCTATCTCGACGATGTTGTGATTACCGGAAAGACTGGTGAGGAGCATGACGCGAACGTCTTCAAGCCGCTCCAATGCCTTCCACTCTATGTAATTCCTGTTCGCCGTAAAAAGTGCCACTTTGCTAAGCCTAGTATAGTTTTTCTCGAATTCATTGGACGCGAAAAAAAGACACCCCGACCGACCAGATAATTCCCGCCATCACCCATATCGGCCTCAAAAGTCAGCTCAAATCTACGTGAGGATGATCCATTCTACTCGTTTTTCGTGCCGAGAATGGTTTACTTCGCGGACTGTTGACCTTGAAGAAGAAAGACGTGCCGTTTAATCGAAGTAAAGAGTGTCAAGAAGCGTTCGTTCGCCTTCGCGATGTCCTGAGCTCGAATTTTCTGCTGAGCTACTACGACCAAGAAGCCGATCATCATTGCCGCTGATGCAAGAACTATGGAATCGAAGCCATGAGCCGTGATCTCTCACCGCTATCTGGATAGATCGGAGAAGGTTTTGCCACGCAGCCGCGCATTGAGGCCATAGAAGAGAACTACTCGCAGACTGGGAAAGAGCGATTGACCTTAGTTGACTCGTCAAGAAGTTTCACCCCTACATCTATGGACGAAAACTCACTTTGCTTACAGACCACCGCCCTCTACTTACCGTAGTCTGAAGCAAGAAATGAGCCTGCCCATACTGCCAAACGGTTACAACGATGGTCTATGACACTATCTGCCTATGATTTGTGTTTCACACCAAATACTGCTCTACGACATCGTTTAGACAGGCTGATACTCTCTCCGACTGCTTTCCTATCGGAGTGCGCCGAACGAAGTCATCATCATTGCTACCGTAGAAGCTGATGTCACCGCCACTTACGAGGAAGCACTAAGTCATGTGCCAGTTACAGTGGATGACGTACGTTCTGCTATGCACCCCTTGCTGATAAAGCTCCTCAACTGCCTCCAGACAGGACATTGGCCGAATGCGAATGCACTCTCCGTAATGCCATGTAATTACAAGAGTCAACGAAGAGACTCTCTGTTTACAATGGATGCATCTTCTTCGGAACCAGGATCGTCGTTCACGATTCGTTGAGGAAGAAGATCCTCCGGATGCTGCACGACGGACACCCTGGGAAAACTCGGAAGAGGCTGCTTACTGCTTCTCACTACATCTCTGCCCTGGTTCAAAAAAAGACTTCGAGAGACTGTGGAACGCTGCCACAACTGCCAACTGGCCGCTAGAATCCAGTAAAAGCTGATTAACCCATGGCCGATAGCAAGTCGCCCAATCAGACGCCTACGCATTGACTTCGCGGGACCGCTCTATGGATGCATTTACCTCGTTGTCGCGAATGCGTACTCCCGCTGGCCTGAAATCCTAGAGATACAGTCAACTACGTCACAAGCTACGACGCAGGAATTTCTAAACATCTTCAGCAGATTTCAGAAAACAGCCATCTATTTCTCCGGTGCCCGCCTGCCTCCGGCGATTATCTGAGTGAGCGCTATATAAGGCATTCCGTGCTAGCTATGACATTTGTCTTGTCTTGTCAGTTGCGTTCTTATTCATTCTACTCTACCAATAAATATTATTCCACAAGTCGGACTAGCACAAGTGCGATTGCGAGTAGAGATGCTACAACAGATTTGTATCGATTTCAACTTTTTTGCAAAGTTCGAGTACAAGGCTGGGAATTGGGGCAGGGCCATAAGCGAGCATGCCGATTACTAATATATTTATGACAGGGGCCGGTTTGCCGGCTAGTCACTCATGAAGATGCCGTTGCCGTGCGTCTTGTGTGCAGAGTCACATATTAAACAACGAATGACCCGACAACTCATGACAGCATTTAGGTACTGGAAGTGGAGCTAAGCAAGTGATTCTTTCATGCGTGCTTAAAGGTAGCATCCAGGCAAATCTGGACCTATGGGGCTCTCACGTGGGCAATAATCTTAAGGCCCTAAATAAGACTCTGCCCAAGCGGCAGCTCAGATAGTGCACTCACGGCCAAGATATTGGGCTAAACTATGCCCCGTGATCGTATTCGCATAAATTCATGTTTCGCGCGAGGATCCACGCGAAACTGATGTGCCGAGCCATGAATCCATGCGATTACGGTCACGGAGAATAGTTTGGAGCCAATATCTTAGCCGTGAGTGCACTATCTGAACTGCCGCTTGGGCAGAGTCTTATTTAGAGGGTCAAGATTATTTTCCACGTGAGAGCCCCATAGGTCCAGATTTGCCTGGACGCTGCCTTTAAGGTTCCTGTAGACCCAAAAGATGCAGTCACCGTCATTTACGATTATGAATGCTCTATACTACATCTAAGGCACGCGCCATCCTTATTCTACGTTATCCATTTATCCACTTCGCTGCGGATCAAGTGGATCAAGTATGGCATGTGCCTAAGCGCGCAATAAGAGGAAGATGTTGTTGATTAGTAGGGTAACCTCACCAATAAGAACTCGTCTTTGTCAATCCTTCCATTGTCATCCTTGTCGAACATTAGAAATGCGATTTTGAACGCTGATTTTGACTCTGCAAGAAAAGAAAATCAACGAAAAAATAAGTGACCTTGCGAGCATCTACATACTACGTGTAAATAAACTAAATGCACGAACTTGTGATGAGAGTAAGGAGGAAGATGTATTCCGAGTAAGATATAAGCCCATTTTGGTCGAGCGTTCGAAAGAGATCCTTACTCCCTAATCGGAACGGTGGCGTTGCTCTGAGCATTTTCTTCAAGTCTCCATCCTTTAGAACTCGTCTGTACACACGCTCTAGATGATGAAACAGTAGCGAGGAAAAACTTTCAAAAATAGTGTGGAGAGGGAATTAAGCTAAGAAGAGCTTCTTGTCCTGATAAATGCAGCATTTCATACCCCGAGGACTATCCAAGGTCAAAGAGTCGATAAAATCCATAGGACTCATGTAGATGACATCATCGTACTCGATGGAAGCGAACTCCAGGAAGCGCAACTCCCGCTTCGTAAGTTTGTGATCCGTATGGACTTGATAACGTTCCCTTTCATCGCGCCCTGAAGCACCGAAGGTCTAGAACAAGCATCTATAAAAGCAATGTTCCTATGAAATTGAAACGGTTAGAGGCAATCTCAGGTAAACTGGACTGCAAAATTCACGCTATGTAAAAGTGGACGCCATCGCACAAGTGCGAAGTCATAACGTTCGAGCAGAAGCAAGAAATTCAATGGGACTGTTGGGAAACTTACAATCGAACTGGGTAACCTAACGCCGACAGCCTCGAGCAGTGCAATCATAAATCCACGCCGAGTTGGCCTTTCAGATATAATATTCTACAAGCAACAATCTCCAAGTAACCCGGGATATGTGTGCCAATAGTATGGGCACCATCTTTGTTGCATATTACCTGTTTTCGAATTACGTAAAGGTCATGCCATAAGCATGACCTGCTGCGATATAAGCTGTTTATTGGCCAGTTGCTTAATATCATACATTGCCACGCCTATCATAGCTAGCATTCTACCGCTGCACTAATACGTGCACGTCGTCTGGCTCAATAAAGCTTGAGTTTCTGTGTTTTACGTTACCGTAGTCTGAGGCGAAGTAGCACTTGTTGTATGTTACGTAAAAACAAGTGCTACTTCGCCTCAAGCTACGGTAAAGCCTAGAACTACCGATACAATATGAGTGAGGGAATTTATTCGCCCAAAGGACTTGCCGCAGCGTAGTTATAAAGGTCATGAGTTGTTAGCAATGCAATAGTAATTATAGTACCTAAACCGCACCGTACGCAAAGCCGCTCTCTGCACAGAGCCCCGACTTCATCTTATATATAAAGCTGAATGTCTGTTTTTACACCCCTCTGCCAAATTCCAGCCCCCTAGCTCAAATTTTGCAAAAAATCGATAAAATCGACATCGATCGATAACGAAAAGTAGCCTATGACACCCGCCGGGGCCCGAAGTGTATATGTGCCAAGTTTGGTCCGGATCGGTTAAGAAATGGAATTTTCTATTCGGAACATACGGCGGAGCCGGGTAAGCCAGCTAGTCTCATATAAAACTAAAAGTTCACTGTGATCTTGAACTCATTGTGCAGTAGCGATATTCGTCCAATTGGGGTGAAAATAAGTGATTAATGCTGTTTCCAAATGCTAGGAATTTTGCTCGTTCTGCTTGATAACCTCATATCTGTATTTTTCATATCAATTCCTTTACAACTGTAAAGATTAGTAGGATTTCAGCAGATCTTTTTGAACACACCAGATTTTTCCCATTTGAGCCAAAACCAGTTGTGAAAAAGCTTTGCAGAATAATCTCAGTATCAGTAATGGCAAGCCAAGATATTGGAAGCAGCCGAAGAGAGACGAGTTCTTAATGTATTGAAGGAGGGGGATGATCCTCGTGAACATCATGTAGTGCTGGCTCCATTGTTGAGCAAAGAAGGGACGTCAACTCTTCCCGATATAAGATGGAAACATTGCAAAGAACTTCTAAACCAACCTCTTCTGCTCATTTAGTCACGTGCTGATGCCTTTGTTTCCACTGGAAAAGTACCTCCTCGAGTTCTACCTGCTGAAACACACCGCGATCCAGACCATGAAAACATCAACGGCTCCAGAACCAAATCTCCTTCTGCTACTACGAGCCGGAGGACAACGTCTACACGAGACTCTCGCGTCGCATTTAACATTCTACCTTCAGATGGAAAGTATTCCCAAAAATGAAGAACTCCAAAGGCCGTCCTTCTCTTCAAAAGGGCGAACGGAGGATCTTCGGAACTCTACTTAATATGCCTTCTGAGTGCGCTGTACAAATCTATTACTATTCCGCTCGCTATAGAACATGGAGCCCAGCCCCAAAAACAAGCTGGATTTCGCAGAGGATTCAACTGCATGGACTATACCTAGACAATCTCGAGGGTCATAGAAGTAGCCCACGAGACCGCCTACCTCCTTTTCTAACGTTAATCGAATACGAGAAAGCTGACAGCGCCGAAACAACGCCATCTTGTCAGCGCTAGTCGATCAAGGACTGGATCCAGCTTATGGGAGGACATTGGCCTCTTGAAGGACTCTTCAACAATGACGCAGCTGTTCTATCGCCCCTGACAATCCCAATCGGGAAAGGGGTTGACAAGGTAATAATTTTATCGAAGATCTTATTGCGGCTTTGCAGTGGTGATGAAGTCACTAGACTAGGACGAGAGAGGCATACGAGTTGATGGGAGATTCCTGTCGAACTTTCGTGCGGACGATATCGCTCTCTTCTCAAGCAGTACCAGTGAAGCAGAGACGATGCTGAAGGAACTAGACGAAGTAGGGAAGAAGACGAAATCTAAGTAGGGAAGTGAAGTCTGAGAAAAAACGCTGAAAATGCCAAAAATTCCATTTCGCCGCTCAGAACCGCATGCGAACGGCTGTAGGGCATGCAGCACAGTTATGGCAGTTCGAAAACTGTGGTGGAACTGTTCCGGAACTTTCGGATCAGTATGAACCCGGCCATAGGAGGAAATAACGAGTAAGGCACGCCCTATGATACTTGCTCCACTTGGCTATTGGTCACTGTTTTGACCAATAGCGAAGTAGATGAAGTCGATCGAGCGGATCAAGTGGAACGACTGTGGCCTATCAAAGGCAGCGTCCGAGCAAGATGTTCACAGATATTTCGTTTACCTGGGTTTACCCTTCCAGCTGATCCAAAAATGCAGCTTGTAGAGTACGAAAATGTCCAAAACAGGCCGATCCAAAATCCTCTGATTTTTTTAATGTAATGCCTGCCACCAAAGTTAAGACGCAGAGTCGTGGTAGAACCCTACGTCTTGACTGTGTGCGATGCACGCACTCTAATTACTTAGATACTTAGATGCTTAGATGGCCCGTCTTCACGTGGCGTGCGAGCCTCAGCACAAAAATTTCTATCGATCCCTGTTCCTCGCTTCAGACATCTACGATCTTCTTGGTTGACGTCGGTGGCTGCATCCATCAGTTTCAGGTGCAAAAATCGTATCCAGCTAATTTCTCAGCTGGTCCATTCTTTCCACGAACACGTCTGCCCACTCGTTGGTGGTCTTCCTTGGAGACGTTTGGCCTCGCGAGGAATCCACTCAGATGTTCTTAGGCCATCTGTCCATCTGTCGTCTGCTCTTCTCTCGATGTGACTGGCCCATCGGTGTTCCGCTTCCGTAACGTATTCCGCTGGGTCACGAAGACGGGACATTCTTCTCATACCCGTACTGCGAGGTCCGACTAGATGTTGCTTGCGTCGGATCATCTTCAAAAGACTGCGCTCGAGCGCTTCGTGGATGGTCCGAAAAGCTTTCGACGTGGCCACAGTATCGGCCCAAGTCTCTGCTGCGTAATAGAGCGCGAGAATGGTCGAGTCGAACAGGTGGGCAAGAAGCTCCGGGTCCGTCATTTGGTCAGTGGCTTCCTTCAGAGGCTCGAAGGCGGCCCAGGCTGCTCTTCCTTTCCTGTTAAGGGTTCCTTCATACTACGCCGCGTACGCCACGTTCGCCGCGTACGCCCCGTACGCCGCGCACGCAGCGTACGCCGCGTGCGCCGCTGCAGCGCAATGGAAATATGCTCGCGGCAGCAGAGCTCCACTTCTTTTATGTATCTCTATAACTGCTTATTAATAGAGCGTCATTTCGTCATTTTTTCTTTACAGTTTTGACCCCAGATACGTTAACATTGTGAACTGTGAAGTCAGCGCCAAAATTTGAATGATATTTTGTGAGCGAAGAAAACAAACTGCGGCAACAACGGCGCATCAAATTTGCAATGCAGTCTAACAGTACGAAGAAGGGAAATCCTTTTCATCCAGTGATGTGTTTGTAAGGAGATGTTAACAGCGCAAATATACAACCAGATACATACAACCATACAACCATATACTACCAATATACAACCAGATGACGCAATGTGCAGTCAGTTACGCTACAAAATGTGAAACTCAAAAGTAGAGGGAGCACAACAACCTAAGTCATTCCAAAGTCTTTCCATCAATCATTGATACAGACAAAGGATAGACAGGATAAGCAAAGCAAAAGAGACGAAAAAATGCTTTGTGTGAATGAACACTATTGAGGGACACGAATGTGCAGCAAATATGGAGACACATAAAAAGTGGAGCTCTGCTGCCGTGAGCATATTTCCATTGCGCTGCAGCGGCGTACGCGGCGTAGGCTGCCTGCGCGGCGTACCTGGCGTGCGTGGCGTGCGCGGCGTAGAATGAAGGAACCCTAAGTTCTTCCCTCAAGTCGTTTTCCATGTTCATCGAACGTCCGAGATACACGTAGGAAGACGTCTCCATGATAGGGGTGCCTTCCAATTCCATTTCCGCAACTTCGCAAAAAGCGTTTTTTACGACTAAGTCTCTTCGATGTATTCGCATTCCGATCTTCTTCCCTACTTCGTTTAGTTTCTCCAGCATCGTTTATACTGCTCGAGAAGAGAATGATGTCGTCCGCAAGAAGAAGGTTTGACAGGAATCTCCTATAAACTCGTATGCCTCTCTCGTCCCAGTCCAGTGTCTTCATCACCCACTGCAAGGCCGCGGTAACAGCTTCGGCGAGAATGTGTCGCCTTGTTGGCCCTCCTTTCCAACTGGGATAGTCAGGGGGCGATGGAATAGCTGCATCGTTGTTGTACAGTCCTTGTAGCAGTCGGCTAGTGTCCTCACGAGCACATACAGGATGGCGTTGGTTTCGACGTTGTCGAAGGCTTTCTCGTAGTCGGTGAAGGTTAGAACGAGAGGAAGTCGGTATTCCCGGCAGACTTCTATGAACCTCGAAACTGCCTAGATGTAGTCTATGCAACTGAATCCCTTGCGGAATCCAGCTTGTTCTTAAAGTTGGGCTTCATCCAGTGCCCTAATATGCGAGCGAGGATAATCTTTGTGAGAAGTTTGTATAGCACACTTAACAGGCATATTGAACGGTAATTTCGAAGATCCTCCCGTTCACCCTTCTTGAAAAGAAGGACGGTTCTTGATGTTCTCCACTGGTCGGGAATCTTCTCCTTCTGAAGGTAAGATGTTAAATGCGACGCTAGAAATCGTATAGATGGTGTCCTTCGGCTCGCAGAAATTCGACGGAAAGATAATCTGGTCCTGGAGCCGTGGAAGTCTTAATGGTCTGCATTGCGATACGCACGTCAGCAGGTAGAATCCTTGGTGGTACTTCTTCTGTGGGAACGGGCATGGACACGGGCATTGAAGAGCGGAAGAGATTGGTTTAAAAGTCCTTCGCGATAGATTCCATCTTATATCGGGAAGAAGTCGGAGTCCCGTTTTCGTTTAATAATGCAGCCAGCGGTACATGTTGTTCGTAGAGGGCGCTTCTTGAACTCCGTCTTCTTTCGGCTGCCTTCAGTATCTTGACTTGCCTGTACTTCCTGAGATCCACCTGCAAACCTGTTCTGCAACTGGCGTTGGTTATCAGTCGCACGAGATGTGTTGCATTCGGATCCTGCCTCAGGAGTCTTCTTCTTTCGAACAATTCTTGGTGGTCTTCGAAATGCGTTAAGTCGCTGAGGCTCACTCTCCGCAAGCTCACAATCCTTTCAGAAGCCGGTCAAGTTGTACGTTGGGTTCTCCTCGATGGGCCAGTCACAATTTGATATGAGCTCTTCTAACCTGTTGCCGTCATAAACGACTTCTTTCCTTCTTGCGGCATTGTGGCAGACCTTCCTTTCCAGCTTTCGACTGAGTCGTATCTTCGCTCGAAGGAGGCGGTGATCGGAGCCATTGAAGGAACTACTAAGACATCGAGCAAGCTCCACCTTCGGTTGGTGAGAATGTGGTCGATCTCCGCGAGAGCCGTTCCCTTGGGCGTTTATGTCCACTGGCAATGTTCTTTCTTCATAAACATGGAATTTCCATGGAAAAGTCGTGCGGCGGAGAGAAACTCAACGAGACGGTTGCCGTTTCTGTTCCGGAGCCCATATCCAAACTTCCCGATCCTATATCCTCTTCTAGTGGCTCCCGATCTTCGCGTTGAAGTCGCCCACAACGAACTCGTAGAAGGACTTCTCGTTGCGGACGACTTGCTCCACGTCTTCGTAGAAAGCATCTAGTTCTGAACTGTCAGCTGCTGATGCTGATGAGTAGCAGCTGATGATGCTGTGGTCTTCTGACGAAGAGGTAGTAGTCGTAGGATGGCTAGTCGAGGTGATAGGATCTCATGCGAATCGACAAGATGGACGATAGGTGGGTGGAGACGACAAAGCCAACGCCTCCGATGTTTCGTGATGGAACCTTTTCACCACGAATGATGAGGGTGCCATCGCCATATGTCGCAGGTCCTTCTTCCTGACTTTGTTTCGTGCAGAGCAATGACGTGGTACTTGATGTGCTCTGCAGCGTCGAGAAGAGCGTGGAGGTCGGCGTTCGTGGAGACTGTCCTGGCGTTGTAGGTGCAGAGCATGAGGGTCTAGATGGTGTATCGTCCTGGAAGACGTTTTTACTCGATCCAAAAGGCGTCCTGACTACCCTGACATCGTTCTTGCTACCGCCCGGTGCCGTAGGCGGGATCCAATGTGCAGGGCTTATCTCTTTTCTTTTTGCTGATCGAGTAATAAAATTTCTCCCCTACAAGAGCAGACTTACTAGGTCTACTCTTGATTTCCACGGGGCGATCGCCGACCCCGGACTTGGAGCGGGGAGCAGAACGCCTAGCGTGCAGAAAACCAGACGGCGGTGGATCTGACCTGGCCGGCTCTTAGCTAGGCATCCAGCCGAAACCGGAAAACGTCGAACTCCTTCACAGCTTGGGAGGCCCTGCCAGAGTATAATGTGGCACGTTAAGGGCCGGTTGGACGGGTAACGGCGCGGTCTGAAACCTGCCTTGGACGTTAAAGGCAGCGTCCGAGCAAAATTCCGACCAAAATTTTTTTCGCCTACCTGGGCTTATCCTTACCGCAGAATTCGAAAATGCAGCTTGCAGAGTATGAAAATGTCGAAAACGTGCTATTTCGAAAACCCCTATTTTTGGATTCGGACGCTTGCCGCCAAGGTTGACACGCAGAGTCGTGATAGGACCCTACGCCTTGACTGTGTGCGTATACAGTCTGCCCCAATCGGGATCAGGCCGAACCGTCGGCTGAATTTGCGCGCTCACAGCGCTAGGGGTTTGCGCTGCATAAGCGCGCTGTCGCAGAGAGCGAAGAGATTGAGGAGAGAGCAGACTAGCTAGACGCAGAAGTGGCGCGAAACCCTCGCGACGCGCACTCCCGCCAAGCCAATTTTGGCCTGGTTAGGATTGGGGCAGACTGTAGGCACTCTGGCTAGCGATTGAGGGGGTGGACAGGTCGCCGGTGTATCTAAATCGCCACTTCTGAAGCGGATTTCTCGCTTCTGAACCAAATTGAAGCAACGCTACTTGGGCAAGAGCTTCATCAGGGTGGGAACTGCTGCAGTCTATGTATTCTTGTAATCGCCAAGTTTGCCCGGACGCTGCCTCTAAGATGTTGTACAGTAGCGTGTCTGAGGGTGACTACTTTCATATGGCACTGCAGCCAACAACCCACAACCTTACATGGGCAACCTTTTAACCTTACAACCCTGCATTGCTTAATGCTGCTATCAGAAGCCATACGATATGTCAAATATCGAACATTCAAAAATCTCTAGGTATATAAAACTCAAAAATTGTCTGTTTGGAGGGTATGGAGCTATGGAAACGCCCGCCGCTCAACCGATTGAGCTAAAACTCTGCATACAGATGTTCTTGACCCCGGAAACGGTTTTGGATACTTTTTACTAAAATTCGCTGGTCCTTTTATCGATTTATTGATTTCTACGTTTTTCTAAGAAATTGGAGGCTTATCATGTTTAATCAAGCATTTCCCCATAGTCATGTAAAGGAGGGTGGTGAAACTCATTTTCACCTCAGAATCACGAGGATGCGGTTTCGAAGCGGATGTCTCAGGGTAAGTGATCCATATGTAAGAGGGGGGGGGGGGGTGCTCGCAGTGCAGGTGACCAATGGCCCGGGCTGGACCGGGAAAGCCAACGAGTAGAGCAATAATAGTCAAAACACAGGATAACCAGGTGATAAAGGCGCTATTGTAAACAACAACACACTCACCCAACACGTCATTTTTCTTGAAAGCAGCACCTCCTTGGTAGGCTACAAGTGCGCTAGCTGTTGTCAAAGCAGCCGATGCTGACCGTAAACGTCTCCAGTCTCTCCCATTGCCGGAATTGAAACGATAATCACGAGCAAAGATTCTACATCTACTCCAGATTCGCTTCATACACCTGGAAAACACATTATGTATGAGAAAAGAACTATGAAATGGAGCATGGACGCCATGAGAATAGCATTCAATGACGGATCAATCAAGGAGCCAGTTTTGCAACATCTCGCTGAATTGATGCAAATTATATTTTTACCACATTTTTATGATATCTCTATCACTTGCTTACGAATGGGCGTAAAGTTTCTATAACGAGGATTTTAGTCTCATCATTAGCCCATCCACCAGTGACTCAAATCCTGTAGTGCATAAGAGCGGGATGTCCTACGTGTTGACGAGAAGCCGAGATTATAGTCGATTCCACGATGAGGAAAAAGGTCAGCTTGCGGACATGGTGGCAGTGACGTCTGTGCTAGTACGTTACTAATCGTAAGCATAAAACCATAGGTATGCTTGAAAACTTATCGATTGCTTAGGGACACTGAACACGGCTCCCATCTAACATTCTCAAGTTTCCTTGCAACATTCTGCAACATACTGTCCTTTCCAGAGTCGCTACTTCTTTTGGCCTGCATCTCTGACCTGCGACACGTATGGCTAACATTTGGCAACGTGCAACAACATGTTTGCAGCTACAACAGCATAATGGCGGAACATTTTAGCTATGAGCCTTAGCGCCGTTGGCTATGAGCCTTAGCGCCAACACGTTGCTGCATGTTGCCAACATATTGGCCACGTGTGCCGCATGTCACAGATGCAGACCAAGCGTAGCAGCAACAATGGAAGGGAGTGGGTGTAGATTGGATTTCCGTGTAAGTAACAGGTGGAAGGCGGGGCTTCGGTTGCTAATCAAGCCTAGCCGATGATTAGAGAGCACGCTCGGAGAGAGATGCAGCTATGATTAGCGATCGAAGCCCATCCGCCACTTCCTGTGTGTTGTTGTATGTTGCAAGCATGTTTTTGCACGTTGCCAACGTGTTAGCCATGCGTGTCGTAGGTCAAAGCAGCACGGGGTATCAGCAGTTGTGAAGGGAACGTATGGGGACAATGGATAGGAGCGAACCACACTCATTCCTCTTCATCCACTTCGCTACTAATTAGATCAGTGAGCTGACCAACAGGAAGTGGATCAAGTTGACAACCGCTTCGCTATTGGTCACTTCAGTGAACTGATCAATGACGAAGCAGATAAGCGATCAAGTGGATTAAGCGGTTCAAGTATGGCGCTGCCTAAGTGGTAGACGCCAAGCTTTCGTAGCAGTGTGATAGTGGGTCCCCTAAGTAAACGATAACAGAAGTTCGGATGAAAAGGAAGCATGGGATGCACCGAAACCTACGGCAGGCGCCAGGCTTATCCGATTCGATCGCTCATGCGGTTCACTTCGCCGCTATAAGACAAATCACTGTATTGACCAATAGCGAACGGGTGAACAAGGACGAACCGGTTGAACCGGGTAAGTATGACGCCTGTCTGCCCAAACGCCACCTTTTAACCCATTGACGACGATATGGACCACCCGTGGCCCACGCACTTTTTGCTGACAGGAATGATGTGGACCACCGGTGGCCCAGGCCCACGCACTTTTTGCTGACAGGGATTACATGGACCACCGGTGGCCCACAGCTCTTGCAAAGTCGTATTGTTTGTAAGTCTAATATTTGTTCCACATATCAATCTTTTTTTCCAATTTTTTGCACTTTTGGGACCTGTAAGCTTTGTCTTTCAGAAAAGTGTTTATAGTTGTTTACAAAACAACCTTGCGTTACGTAACTAACCAGAAAAACTTTCCCACACCGAATGTTCAGTACACAAAATTAGGAGTCATCAAATGGTTAATCTGGATGCCTCCAAGCCAACGTTTTCGGACTGCAAGCTAGGCTCTTCCAGATTTTCGCGCTTTCCAACATTTTGCAAACAAGCGGGACGGATAAAACATCAGCAAATCTTGACCATTTCCTATAAAACCCAAACCTAGATTCCTCCGAGAAGATATGGAGCAGGCAAAACTAGCAAACTCTCGGGGACACGGTCTTTGTATCGGGTGCACTTTTGCTGACCAGATAATCCGTCGAATCTCTACACATATATATTACTCCAATATGGGCGCCGCTCAGCAGTACTGCAATCCCAAACACGATGTTCTGTTTGCACAGGAAACATGTCTAAATACACACCACAGACTGTTGAGAATGAAAACATACAAGGCACCGTACAAGGCTAACGCACTGCGAAGTGCAAGCGGCTGGATGACACCCGCGCAAAATCAACGGTCAGCTGATCTGAGTCTGGTTCCTCACTCCACATATAGCGAGTGGCATTGCTAACCAACTTTTGTGCTCAAAAGTTCTCTATCTCATCAATTATGCATATCAAAATTTGGACTACGATACTTTGTTGACAGCCTAACCAAGCCGTTTTACTTTTTTGCAAAACTTTTTAGTAGGCATCTGATGTTTTTTTTTTTGAGTGGTAAGGGTAACTAGTGAAAAAAGCAGTGGCAACTGCATCGAATGGGTCTGTCGAAACGACGCTCTATGCTCTTTCACTACCACCGGCTAGAAAAGATGTTACGTGCGCGTCCTGAAAAACTCGCTTGTTTTCACTATCACTGTAAGCAGAAAAATATGCGAAATGCGGAAACGCACTAATTTTGAATTTCGTTTGACACAAGCATGCGCAAACGTCAATTCCCTACCTGGGAATGTTCCTCCTCTAATGATAACTTTCACAATCCGAGCTCCTGATAACTAATCTCAGTTCGCACACACACATACACATACACAAACCAGTTTAGCAAAATAGTCGATTCCAATCACTTTTTTCGTGTTTCTGCTCGGCGAATACGCTTCTCTCGTTTTGCGTCAATAGCGTTCGTCGAGCGCAAATTCGGCGAACGAGAATTGCACCAGGCGCGCTGCGTAGCAGCCCTTCCAGCGCGTGCCGCTGTCGTGTTTGCGTTTTGCGTCGTGTGGAGTTTCAAGCAGTCGTACGATGTCACCTTTCCACTTATGCTCCGCCCTTTGTTTTAATTGTTTCGCTTGTGTAACTTGTTATAGATGAGAAAATCCGTTACTTTCTCTTTTTGGGAAGTTGTATGGTTGAATTTAGTCGGATTGTTGGATAGCGCGTGCGTTAGATACTGTCTGACCACTGTAAGATCATTTTTCAAGGTTTGAACGGTCGCCGGGAGTAAGGAATCTAGACTGGAGGGGAGGTATGGCCGAGAGGCAGCCAATGCTCTCGTTTGCTAAGGTGGTCTCGGGCCAAATTAGCGAGACGAATTCCGCACAAGCAGCTCCAGTTCGTTCCACATCGCCCAGTACTCGTCCAGCCGTAGCAGCATCCAGCCAGAAGTCTGATCATAGAAATGAGAAAAGGCATGACAAGGCTGAACGCACGGACCGACCGGAGAAAAGTGGCGTCGGTGGCGGAGGAGGCGAGAAACAAGAGAAGCACGATAGAAATTTCGGGAACCGTCGTCGCCCACCGAAGTACAGGGACCGTCATGATAAACGAGGGAATAAGCCAGAACCAGTGAAAGAGGAGAAAGCACCTAGCGTTGAGGAGCCTGCACCTCCTCAGGAGCCTGTGGTGCTCGAGCCTGCGCCACTTCCAGCTGTAAATGCGTGGTTTAGAAATAAAGGTGGATGAGAATATTTACGCTTGTATTTTCTCATTTCAATAGCTTTCAGGTTCAACAGATTCGACTCATGGTATAGATGTGGTCACAAATTCTAACAACGACGAACATAAGCATGTAGAAGATGAAGTCGAGGTGCTTTTTCATTTTCCCTTGCAGCTTTTATCCCTTTTATAAGCCCAGAAATATCCTCATCACTACTTTACTATTATGCACTCATAAAAGCGTACTTAGGTAAAGGAAGATAATGCATCATCTGCCCAAGTAGCACCAGTTGTTGATGGAACACCGAAAACTAAAAATGTGGATCCTGAGTGGCCGACTTTAGACGCTGCGAAACAGGAAGATTTAATTGCAAATGGAACAGATTCTCGTCAGCATTCCCCCACAACGGATTCGGCAAAGGTTTGTTGCACATTTATATTCGGGTCCAAATTTCTTCCATTGTTTTATAATTTCGCCGTATATATGGTTAGTACACGTTTTGTTAGACATTCATCGATATCAAATTATGACTGCACTGTGAGCTTCCACTTAATCTTCTTAGTTTGCATGACTGTCTTGGACTTTGAAGTCGCATATACAAAAAGTATTGCGTCACTGTGCTGATCTATCCGCTGAAAAGTGGTTTGGAGTGTGAATAACGGTACGCTCGCTCATTACTACACACTAAGTTGTTTAGAAAATTCGTGCATGTGGTTAGAATAACTCTCATATCTTTTTTGTACCATTGCTTGAATTTATACGCATGCCGATAGCGGAGTTAAAAATCAACTGTGTTTTCTCGTCAGCAGATGCGGTGTTGGGCCTGAGAATCTAGTAGAATTCTTCTTTGGAGTTCATATATCAAATTCGTATGCTTCTTATTAGAGTAATTATTGAAAGAGCGGAGCACACTTGCGTAAGGCAATTTTTTCTATCGAATGCTGTAAATGAAAGACGTAAGTTGCGTTGAATAGGTTTTAGACTCATGTTTGATTATCCACCATTTATGCAAAATAAGAATCTACTAGCAACATGCGCTCTTTATCTCATCTTTCAGTAATGCTGCTGTAATCCAACAAACTTTAATTTGACATATGTATGTAACTGGTTTTTTCTGAATTACAGGAGATTTTTCTCGAACAGATGCACAGTAAAGGGAACTTTGCATATACATTTTGCTGTTGATGTTCTCGTAAATGTGTCACCATTATGATGATTTATAGTGTGTCCGGTATGTGTTTTCACCGCCCAGGGAAAGCTATCTCATTAATTATTGTTGAAATAGATCGTCATCAAACCGATGTTTGTCTTGGAGCTGCGTACATACTGGTAGTAACTAACAACTGCTGCACTTGCGAAGTTCTGACTAGATACGTTCGATGATCTGGATATGTTAGGGGTGTATCTCAGGGGCTCTAAAAATATAACCTCATAATTACTCATTACATGTGGATCATGTATCATCCGCTGCAAAAAAGTGATCCCTTGGAAAACACAATTCTTTTTCGTGCTTATAGATGTTGATTATGCAGGCTCTCATGAACTGAATGAACCATTTCATCCCTTAGAATTCTTGATGGCGAGGATTAGGGATCGTCATTTGGTTGAAACTGATAGATTTTGGTTGATAGGGGAGGTTTTGTATTTTCTTATCTCTTCTAATAAGCGCATTTTGACTAACGCAATGAGTCATCTCTTGCGTTTCTGTCCATATTCTTACCGTATTGTTGTTGTTCAATAAGATCAAAGATTCGAAGGTATCTTGTGGAAGGTGCAACAACAAATTACATTCAATCAAGCTACATATTTTCAATAAACTATTTTTTCGAAATATAATGTTCCTATATATAAAATTTCTAGGATTTATATGATGCATCATTTCATTCAATGTGATTCTATGTGGACGAAAATTGTATGTATTTGTAGAAGTGTTTGAACAGTTTTAGGTGAAAACACTTTTTTAGTCACCTCTTGCTTTTTAGGTATGTAAAGATGTTTTCCTGCATTGGTTAATAACTGATATAGCTTTTCATACAGCGTCTTCTTCTGTCATTGAGATTTATATCCTATCTTTACAGCATGCAAATCCGTAGACACTTGCTGTTTTGCATATAACAAGAACCAACTGCATAATCGTATTAGCTTTCTAGTGATGTATATGAAGTTGTTTGTTGAATATCTGCCATGCAGGTCCATGCTCGGGCGCTTTTGTTATCGTCTGTCAGATAATTAAGAGCTTCCGCTCTTTGCACTATCTGCTGTTTTTCTTGCAGTCTGCATCGTGATGGCTAGTAATATGAAATTAAACTATGTCATTTACACTTAATGCCAGCTTGTTCAAAACTTCAGGATGTATATCATAATGTCGCTTTCTCATAATTTTCGAACATCACAAACGCCCTCATCTTGGCTGATTTGGAAGCATTTGATTTACACATTCTCGTTTAGGAGGACCAGGAATCCATAGGAAATGGTCAAAAATCTTCGAAAGGTAGAAGCAACTGGAAGAAAATTGAAATCGATGTGGACTATGGTAATAAAGGAAAAGGTTCCGCTACTTCTCGAGAGAAAGGTGGCACGAAGAGGGATGAGAAGCCAAACGGTACCATTTGCAAACTTTTTGCATAGACGCTTGCACTCTACTGCAAATTGTCATTTGAACGCTTATGAAAAGCGGTTATTGCAGGAAACGTTTTACGTGGACATCCAGCGCTTTCTGACTCTCCTGACATGTGTTCAGTGGATGAAACTGAAACCTGGTAGGTGGTTCCGCTTTTTCACGCTTTCCGTCTCTCTGTTGCACTCTCGCTTTTCTTTACGATCTGATCTATTCCTTTATTTGTTCTGATTCACTATGCCATGCACGCCATGAATGATTTTTTTCGCTTGCGGTGCCTTCGCTTCTCTGAAACTTTCTTTCCTTCCTCTTCCTTTCTTCGTACTTCAGGAAATTTTCATGGACGAATAATGTGGGCTGGTGTCGCATTATGTTTTGCTTACATGAAGCGCTTCTTTTTCTCGCTCTCGGTCGTAGTAATAGCGTGCACTGGGGCGATGTCGTATCGATCAGCAATTGATTGATTCTCCAAACAGAGTGTAAATTGAAGGTGGTATGTGGTGCTTTCCAACAATGGTGCTTGACTAGCGAATAATAAAACCTGTCGATGCGACGATGAGATTCTTATTTCTTTATCCGAGTTCAGTTCTCGCACCATGGCCGTTTTGTCAGAAATTGGGCACGCTTGTACTTTGTAGTTTGTCTTCTGCACTTTCCAAAGTACCCATTGAGGTTTTACTAAATGTAATATTTTGATTGACACAACGGTGCTATTCAAAATTTTTTGTATCCCTACCATTCCTCTTTGCCTCTGTACAGTGCGCCAAGACCACATGAATGTTTAAAGATGCAAAAAACTCACTTAACTTTGAGCGCAAAAGAAGGGGTCTGCAAACTAGTTAATCCGATTATGCATACTTTCCGCTGAGAATCGCTTTCGTTTTATTGGGGAAGGGTGGGTTATTACACTGATAACTTTTAGCGAATCAAATCTCAAGAAAATTTTGTCGTAAAATAGTCAACACAGCAGACTTATACAAAAACTACTAAAATGACTTTTGGAGATCTCTAAATAGTGTGCACTGGGCTACACTATATTTACACAGTCTCAATCGATATAGTGTCAACGCGTTTCAAATTTGAAAACATCTGTATTGTTGCGAGTAGATAAAACTACCGAAATCGATTCCAGATTTCTGATTTCTTGATTCTAGTGTTAACTTTATGAAATATCGATTAGTGTTTTGATAACTGAGTATTTTAGCGATGTATCGATTAAAGATTTCACTTCGTAAAAGCCAGAAATTCCTTTTGTCTGTGATAAATGTTTGCACGAACCGTTTCACAAAAGAAGTGCAGTGTAATCGAGAATCTAGAAATATATTTATCGACATCGTGCATTCATTGTTCCATCGCTTTCGCTAGATTCTGTCTGCGTTTTTGAAGTGGAAAGAATTCACTGCTGTTCTTTTACAATGATTTCGAGTCATTTTGCCAACAAATGATCTGCGCGCTTTTTTTTCAGAAACAAAAAGAACTTGGGTATATATTGGTACTGAGAATATATCCCAGCATTTGTCATGTACGAGAGAAAGGGAGGAAGGAGGGGTGGAAGGGGGAGAGGGGGAAGTATGTCAGATGTTTAGGAAGAATTCTTCTGTCTTCCCTGCCTATTTAGTAGGCTGTTTGTACATAATCGCTCGGTGCGCAATAATCAGCTGGAAAATAAGTTGGAATATTTGTTTTTCTTGTTGATATTGTAAATCCTTATCAGTGGGTAATGCACTAAGAAGGCGCTCTTGATGTATGTTTCACGCGGAGCGTGAACTCGTGACACGCGTGACAGCTGGTTAGTCCGAAAAAAGCGCGGTCGTGCTATTGCCACAAATCGTACATCAAATTTTGCAAGTTTTTGCGCATTATCCTGTTGTTGTGATGTTTAGTGCATACTGTTTGAGTGTACCGCATTCCACATTCTTTTTGCTATCATTTTGGGAACTTGCCTATATGGTTTCTTTTATTTTTGCATCTTTTATCATCTAAGAGCTGCTCCTGTGCGGGAAATTAGTCTAATGAATTGTATTCAATGCGCTATTTACGATTGGGGATGCGAGATGTGGGTGCAGTGCCCCGGCCGTCAGCTGGGGCTTGCAGCTCCATATCTCCGCACGCGCCGTCGCCTGCCTCGCCGCATGCAGTGTTCTTTCGGCGTGCCTCTTCGACGGTTCTCTCGTCTGCCAACGCTATTTCGGACCTCCCATGCCTATGCTTTGGGTCCATCCGCGAACACGACGCCTTTTCGAACTCCGAATCGATATTTCCCTAGGTTTTTCGCATTCCTTCTCTGTCTCGCTGTCTTGTCTTTGAAATTTTCCTGTCCACGATGTGTAGTCTATGAAGTTCTACTGTTATTTTGAGTTATAACATATGTTTACAGGGTAATTGACAACACAACGAATGGTATTTACTACACGCAAGGCAGTAATCAAGGCTGGAAAAAGAACCTGAGCGGCGGCGAGGAATCGAGCGAGTCGCAAAACGCCGGAGCCATTGGACCAATGTCTTCGCCAGACCTGTCCTCCACACCTGCAAAGAGTGCATCGTCGGCGGGCGCAACTGCGAAGAAGCCACAGTCGCCCCAGAAAGAAGATAAGCCGCAGCCGCTTGCTAATGGAAGCAACAGACTTTCTACTGGATCGTCCAAAGGTGTGAGGGGTGAAATGCGCAGCTCAGGCGCCAAGTCTGACTACTGGCACAAAAATGCTGAAAGACGAGATAGCGACAAGCCGAGAGCGTTTTATCAACGCAACGACAGGTATCAATCCCGAAATCCTCACGCTCCTCCGAAATTGACTCCAGCACAGCGCAAAGCTCGTGGTCCACTGCCGGATTGGGAAGATATACAGGATGGCGAGGATAATTTCGACTATATGAATCTAATGGACTCGCAGTACGCACAGTACTACGCAATGTCGTCAATACCACCCTTTGATGGTGTGGGAGGCATGGATCCTCAAGTAGCTAGCATGATGATACAGCAAGCTCAGCAGCATATGGCTGCTTTCGGTTTTCGACCAGCAATTCCTCTGATGCAGCCACATATAGTGGCTCCACCTGAGCCAGTCGGCGTTACGCCACTTCTCAGCCCTCAGGGCGCTGTGCTAACGGCTGCAATTGGCGATTCGATCAACACAGCAATACCATTTGCACCAATTTATCCGACACAACCTCCATTCGTTCCACTCAATGATGAAACGCTGAAGGATTGTGTGCGCAAGCAAATGTGAGTTTCTGAAGTTATTGCAATTTTATTGTCTCCTGTGCGGTCCTGCGCCATAATTTTCTAAAGTTTATGACCGTGTTGCACAGCTGTCATCAAGTGAATGATATCATTTGGTTTATTTTTTCCAACTGTTTAGGTTTTGATCCTTTAACGCAGCGCATAGTTCTGTTGAGTTATAATTCGAGGACAGACTTGCTCTGACAGACCTGAAGTTTTATAGGTACTTAACGGTACGGAAATGCATGAGAATAGCATTCATCAATTTGCTTAATGTTTAGAAATTTGCTAGTTGCGATGCCGAGTACGTGGAGTGCATGTACTTCCTGCTCTGAACTTACTTTGACATGGAGCAAATTGATACGCTTTCACTCTTTATACCGCATTCTACAGCACTAAAGTTCAAAAATAGGTGATTATGATCGATTTTTCAAAGTGAAGAATTACGTTGAATTTGAAAATAAAAGTTGTGGTTCGGAAGAGATGTTTTTTGCCATGCCTGTTGCTCTCTGTCCGACCCAAAGCTTCAGGTAGACCTGGTTTAACATACAAAAAATTGGAACTATATGCCTTACGGACGTTTTTCTCTCAAAAACTTTTTTTGACAAACTTCCTTGAGAAATGTATTTCTTCTGAGACGAGATAATAAAAGTAGTTTTATCTGAGCAGCTTTCGTACTATTCTTGAGAAAATAAGAGCAAAGCAAATGTTCTCTAGACAACGCATGTCACTTACAGTTTTTGTGATACGGTACTTGAGTGTTCGTATGTTTGATGCAGCTGTGCAAATTTTCACGAGATTCTAAATTTGACCGAAAATTCTGAGATGGCGTAAATGTTGTTTCCAAAAAAAAACTTTTATTATTTCAGCGAATATTATTTCTCTGCCGACAACCTTCAAAAGGATTTCTTTTTACGCCGTAAGATGAATGCGGAAGGATTTTTGCCGATCACCCTCATTGCCTCTTTCCCTCGTGTACGATCTCTGACACAAGATCTTGCGCTTATCTGTGAAGGTCTACGCGATAGCGATAAGGTATGCTCTTTATGTTTTGTTTTCTGGTATGCTTGTGCTAAAGAAATCACTTTTTCTTTTCGCTCAGTAATCGAAGACACTGCTTTGAAGGTGCGATAAATTACAAAATTTAGTCTTCATAGAGCCTCTGACCTAATTTTGATAGATTCTCTCCTTTGTTTCCTCTTCTGTCTTTTGTATACATCGAGCTTTTTCAAAGCCAGCATGCACTTTAGAGTGGGGAGGTGTTTTTGGTGTTTCGTAATAGCGCTGAATATGGCAGAAATTTTCCCGCGTTATGGTCATTACATATTCTTCTTACGAAATATGTTTGCGTTTCCATTGCTTTATCATGAAAGCCTCTTTATCATAATCGACTAGTGCACGTGGCTGATGTCGTTCTGAACGTCTTGTGTAGGGTGTTATCTGGTCTTTTTTTTTCAGAAAATATTCTTACATTATCAATGGATCTTTCATCTCAGTAGAACTTCAAAATTTCTGAATCATCAAAACTTAAGTGCTAGGAACCTCAGACTGCTGTTTCAGGTGGAATTGTCGGAAGACGCTAACATGGTGCGACCTCGATTGAACCCTACTGAATGGCCACTTACTCCTACAGTCCATCCTGCACAGCCGACTACTAGCCAAAGTGAAAGTCCATCCGCATCTAATCCAGAGTCTACGGAATCCACAGCTACAAAAAGCAAACCCGCGCAAGAGGATCAGCCAGCGCAAAGCAGGGTAGTTGCTATTCCCTTTTGCTTTGACATGAATTGCATTTTTACTTCCAGCAACAGAGAGAAAATGCAACAACTGCTGAAGCATCCACAGCTAGCACGCAATCTAGTGCTGCTGGGAAGAATGCAGACTTGCAACCACGAGCTACTTCTCCACCGAAGCAGCCATCGGCTTCTGCGGAAGAGGTGGGTCAAACCATCGGACAAATGGTATGATCGTGATGTGATGGATGTGGGAGCAGAGAACGAGAGCTGCAAAGTTGATATGTTGTTTTTCTAGGGCTGGGAGGAGGTGAAACCAAAAAAGAAAGGAAAAAATCGTATGGAGAAGGTCACGGCAACAAAAGAAGTGAATGCAGAGCAGGATCTGGATTTCCAGTTTGATAACGAACTTGATTCTACCACGGGAATAACGGAAACGCCTAGGAAAGACAAGCAGAAGAGTTTTCGGTTGAGGTATGTGTTGAACATATGTTACGAAGCTAAGGCAGGCATGTCACTCGCAAATTTTTTGCTGTAACGTCGATTTTGACTTTACGCAATTTACTCTTGACAAATATCATTATACTTTGTTAGAACTGAAATCTGCTTCTTCTTTTTGGGATTGCATGCATGAACATCCTCCACCGATGAGAGAATACTCAAAGGCAGTGGCCCGACAAAATTGTTGCTGCGCGATTTACATAATTTTTCAATTTCCTTTTCTTTGGCCGTATCTCACGCGATTTCAGTCCAAAGGATTTGGCAAAATTCCAGGTATTTATAACTTACCGTGCGCCAAACTAAATATGCAGAGGATATGGCATTATTCTTTGCATTTGCGATCTGCTAGTGTTGGATTTGAAAACATCTGGCAAATTGCCAGATTGCGTCGCGACTGAAGTCGCGCGAGATGTGCCCAGGGCCTTAGCTTTCGGATTTGCTCAGTCCGAGAATGAGCTCGAATTTCCCGGTGGTGGTTTCCTGACGTTTTCCGGCCTCGATGGTTGCTGGGCGAAAGATTTCCCGCCAACTGAGGAGCGATTGGCAGAATGAGCCAGTGAGGCCGTCGGGTGGATTGGCTCCGCTCATACAGTCCCCTGTGGCCAGTCGCTATTTTCGGCGGAAATTGCTACTCCATCCCGCTGAGCCGTCTGAAAAGGTTGGGAAAGGGCATAAAACCGAACTTTGAAAGATTTCAATACAATCATGGACACAGCGCGTCCAAAAGGTCATGGTGGGAAGGAAAGCTCACAAACCGCCGAGCCGAGCGAGTCTGCGAGCCACTGCCTCTGAACAAATTTACTGAAGTCCCAGAAAAGAAGACCACTGCCGTATCAGTCGCATTTTCAGCTTTTTGTTGGTCCCCCTTCATCTTTAGATGATCCCGCGGCAGACCATCTTTTTTTCGAAGTTGATGAAAACATTCTTGGTTTATATAGGTTATCTAGTGATAGCCGGGGCGTATTCTTGACAAGAACAAATGGGGTATCGAAGAAATGAAAATCTCGCTGAGTCATAGGTTGAAACTCGGGGTTTATAGGTGGTCTCACCATTTTAACATTTAACATCTACCCAATCCAGTGAAGAGTAACATGTTTCCGGTAAGAACAAAATGTTTTTACCGTAATCATGCTTGTCGTCATTGGATGGGATAATCAGCACAACTTTGGAAGGATTTCATCAAATATAATGAGATAAGAATGTTGAAGAAACGGAGGTTGGCTGTTGGCGGCCACCGGGAGCTTTCACGCTTAAATGGAAAATTTAACTCCAGCAGTACGTTTTTGTTCCATATGTTTGGTCCAGGGTACTGATAATGCTTGAAGATGGGTAGCCAGCATGAAACCCAGACGGACCTCCAGGGTCTGAAGTTTTCTTTTGAGCTTCGCTCCACTCCCCGGTGGGGATGTTCAACCGCCCTTAGAGGTGTTATTGTTGCACTTGAGATGTGAAGTCAAAGCTCCAAAAGAAATAAACTCTTATCTTGAGAATGGTAACTTTCAGCACGCAAGACTACGAGGAGATCGGAGATGATATTGTAAACAAACTGATTATTATGACTCCTATGAAGCGAACACTGGACAGAACAGGTGATTTCACTACGAGATCAAAGCATCAGGCTGAATTCAATGAGGAAGTGGAGCTTGGTTTGCGACGGTATGAAGAAGAATTATGGAGTGCCCCGGAAAAGGATGCATCGGTAAGTCATTTTTTTTTCTTGTTTTCTTCTACTTGCATAATTGGCACCACTTCATCTTATCGAACTTGAATCGTAAAAACTGAACGAAATTGCGCCATCGTTTCTCAAAGAGCCTACATGTTGTTCTTACGTAGATGTGGTAGGCATGTGTGGTGGATTTCCAGGTGAAACCGAAAGTTTCGACTATCAATGAGGAAGAATTTCGCTTGCTAAAGGGCGAAGAAGATGTTTCGCAAACAACAACTCAGGGACCACCACCTGATTTGGCGCTAAGTGCGCAGAATACGCCTCCACCGTCAATATGGACGCAAAAAGCAAAGGAGCGTTCGGGTCTAAGTGTTGTGGTATGTTAGGCACACTTCATGACTCATCTAGACTAGATAGCTGTTTAGCAGCTCTGTATTTTGGGTACATCTGGCTGATACTGCGCCTTCTCCGACCCTTTTTCTTATCCCACCCTTTTTCTTGCAAACTTCTATGAGGGAGTCATGAGAGGATTTTGTATCATTGTAAAAGCTCAAAAAACAAAAAACCTGGTATCCGGATTCGGATAGGGTGGAGAACGAACGATCGTCCTTAGCCTTCTACAGTACCTTATCCATGAATATCTGCTCTGTTAACTGTACTGTATGAGAAACCATCTGTCGTTCTGTTTAATGTAGTAATGTATGTTTCTGTGCCCTCACGTGAAAGTACATTGTTTCAGGCTTTTCCGTTTGATTTGGGATTTATAAGCCACCTCCTGTGTTTATTGGAATCGGCATTCAATCACTTTATCGCATTGTTTCAGCCGAAGAGTCCGATGCAGCGTCGTGAATCAGCGGAGCAAAAGGTGTCGCGATTTTATCCGGTGGAGAAACCTGTCACTGTGATTGATGCTAAGTCACCTAGGAAGCAGAAAACGAGGTATATTGTGCTGATTTATCGGGAATGTCCATGTTCAGGGCCCGGCTTGAGTCCGCCCAGGCTTTTTGAAAAGAAAATCTCCCCTGACTTTCGCAAAATTTTCCGAAGTCCCCTATGACCCTTTTCGGAGACGTTGATTAAAAAATATACTAACTCTTGTTTTTTCGGATCCACAGAAATGGTATCCCCTCTGCTTTTTCGCCCCCGGAAACGAAGTCCAGCCTGCTTTTATAAACTGTGCCGGGCCTTAATAGTTCCCCTTTTTCACTTTGAAATCTTGGACATTTACGGAAATCTTCGCAACCTTTTGAATTTTTATTGCTTATTTGACTTATTTAGTTTTGTATTTTGAGTTTGTAACTGTTTATCACCTTTGCCCATATATCCGGTTTGTTCATACCGAAATCGGCTGGTGTTTTTCAGCCGAGATAATGAAAAACAAGTTGCAAGTTTAGACACAGCGCTAATCCCCCTGTGGAAATGCCTGTTGCATGGGTGCTAGGTCGTGATGATGCACCTCCACCTGCTCCTGTAGGAATCGCTGCCAGCAGCAGTCAGATTCCACCCGCTCATCCATCAGTTTCTTTACTACAAGAAAATAATTTTGTACAAAACGTGAGTTGCTGATTTTCGTTGAGAATAGGATACATGTGGTATTTTCCCAAGTTCCAAAATATTTGATTTTTTAAAGGTTTATTCGACTTGGAGACAGTCGTGTTTGAAGCAGCGAAAGAGTCTCGGTTATGATTGTGCCGAAATGAACACGTTGTATCGTTTTTGGTCATTTTTCTTGAGGGACAATTTTAATAGGAAAATGTATGAAGAATTTCGTCAGCTTGCTTTGGAAGACGATGAGAAAGGGTAAGTTGTGTCTTAGCTCGAATATGGCTGTGCATTATCTCCTTCTTTAGTTTCCGATATGGAATAGAAGCATTGTTCCGGTTCTACAGTTACGGCTTGGAAAAACGATTCCGGCCGGAAATTTACAAAAATTTTGTCAAAGATTGCATCTATGATGTGAAGAATGGGCAATTGTATGGTCTAGAGAAGTTCTGGGTATTCATGAAACGGTTTGTTTTTTTTTACTTGATTTTGCGCTTTGATTTCTTATCACCAAGTTTTCAGGTGTAAAATTGCCAAACAACTTGTCGTTGACCCGTTTTTGCAGAAGGAGCTTGCAAAATACAAAACGCCCGATGATTTCTACATTGTGAGTGGTTTGGTATATTCGAGTGCTTGATTATTGGAAACTTTTATCATCGCGCAGTCGCTACATGCGAATACAGGAACCTAATTATCCTTTTGCTACCAGTTTTTTTTGCGCAATGAGCAAGCTTTGCAAGATTGAGCTCGTTGAGCTTCTGGTTTCTTTTCAGATCTTACCCTAGAACATCACAAAAAAAGAAGATATACGAGGTCAGTGTGAAAAAGTAGTCTTTTGCAACAATTGTTGCACTTTGGGAGATGGTGTCAGAAAAAAACTGCATTGGTAGGTAGAAAAAACAAAAATTGATAGAGATGTGCTTTCTTCTGAACGTGTATTTCACAAATTTATCACTATTGGTATAGGATGTGTGACCTTATTTTATCTGCAATGCGCTAAGAACATTCCTATGTACGAGCGCTTGAGACCAGGCGACAGCGACTAAGGCGAACTTGAAGAACACATTTAATTGAAGTAACTCATGTCTGAAAATAGAGTATTTTTTATGCGCCGCGCTAACTGACTTAATGATTGCTAGACATTGCCTGAACTTGAGTTTTATAAATTTTTTTGTAAATTCAATATCTTTTTTTCAAATTTCTCTACTTAATATAATGGTTTTTGGTGCAAGAACTTTCAACATGGGTTCGGGCCCTTACGTAGTGGTATATCATTTTATCCTTCCCTCTTGGTAATGGTCTATCTGCTCCACCCATATGTCCCTGATATCGATGAAATTTATTTGCTAATCTTTTGTTTTGCAGACAAGTGCCGATGACAAAAAGAAAGTTGCTGCCGCGAAGAATTAGACTGGTATGCCACAATGTGTTCCATTTCCATGATTTGTATGTTTTTTCTCTGAACTGGTTATCTCAAAATAGTTCGTTGTTTTGCCTTTCTATGGCGTTGTTACCCTACGATGGAGCTTTTCGTTGAGACGCCCTAAGTTTGGCCCAGGGAGGGGCCTGTTTCTTGTCACAAAGAGTCCTGATGTGTATTTTTCACCCGCTTTCCCTCCTTGGACGTCTCTGTAAAACTCGCCACGTTAGTAGATGAATTGAAACGTTAGCTGTCTAGAAAGCTCCCGGTTGGAAACTGATTGTTCTCGAACGTTTGCTCCAATCAGTGGGGTTAAATAGTACCTCTTAGAAGGTCGTACTAGTTGTTCTGCTATATGTGTTCCGTTTTCCTTTGTTGAAAATTGCGTTGAAGATTTCTTCTTTCTTGTTGCTAACTTGAACTATGTTCACCTATATTTTCAAACCACAGTTGATTTGGGGCTTTTGATTTCTTTCATCATCTATATATTTTCGTCTTCACGCCCATGTTCTATCCCCCCAAGTCGATATCATTTTGCTCATGCAATCAGTCTCGGTTTTGTTGAATTCTTCCAAAGTTTAGCATAGATTTTCTATCGTAAATCACATCTATCGCCCACAAATAGCACAAACACACAACATTGTTTATTGTCTTGAATCCTATTATTTTTTGCCCCGCAATGTTAGAAACAACTTAAAACCCCAAAAAAATCAATATTAGAGATTGAATTGTATTTCTATGTATGCGATCTTTTTACACTTTCGTTTGAAATAAATATGTGCTTCGACGGGAAATAGTCTTCTGTACTCATCAAAAAAAGGCTGACTGTAGTATTGTTTCATTCTGAGATTGTCATTTTCTGCATCACTGAAGTATTATCCGTAAATTCTTTCATTTTCTCAAATAAACATATGTACAAATATTGAACAAACAAAGAAAATAACAATTGACACCGAAAATAGAACTCCTGAAATGAAACGTCAAAATAATATTTATCGAATCTCTTGAGTGAGGATTTGGATACACGCAGCCAGCTGTTCATATGTGATTCTGGTGACCTTTTGATCTGAAGGAAAATTGTTGACGCAATAATAGGCCTCATATCACCTAATCTGAAATCGAGGCGGGTAAAGTAAGCGTTGTGCAGGCAGGATCTTTTCCGGAACGGGAATGGTATAGCATCCCAGTGTGGTTGTGCAGTGCCTATGAGTCGTGGAAACTACAGGACTCACAGGCACTGCCTCCATGTTCTTAGGGTAAAACATGCATTGTACAGTGTATAACACATGTTTTACTCTTACAAGGGAACGATCCCAGCTTAAGGTGGCGAATTGGAATAAACCGCATACCATTAGATGCGCCTTGATGAGCTGATTCCAAATCTACCTTCCACATCTGCGACAACGTTATCTGGAAGAAGTTATGAAAGGTTAAAAATGTGAAGTAACGGGGGTTTTGATGCATAATTTGCTTTAAAATCCAATTTGGAAACGCATGACTAGCATCATATTGAGTGTACTGATTTCACGAAATACTCACATCCAAAAGAAACGCAAATAAATGTTTTTGAACAGCGAAAAAGCAACTAAAGTTCTTTGGTAAAAGCTATGAGCAATGAAAAGTCCAAATTTGGCAAATATACAGCGCAATACCTCGAAAATTAGTTGTTCAAAAACACTTATTTGTGTTTGTTTAGAGTGTGAGCATTCCTTGAAATCAGTACACTCAATATCATGCTAGTCATAAACTCCCAAGTTGAATTTTGGAGCGAATTATGCACTAAAACCCCCGCTACTTCACGTTTTTAACCTTTCATAACTTCTTCCAGATAACGTTGTCGCAGATATTGAACGTAGATTTGAAATCAGCTCATCAAGGCGCATCTAATGGTATGCAGTTTATTCCAATTCGCCACCTTAAGTTGGGATCGTTCCCTTGTTAGAGCGCTAGATTAGCATGAGTAAAAGTTTCTAGAATGAGTAAAACCTTGAAAGTATGCATCTCAGCTTACCGTTGTGGTAGCCTGAAGTTTGGATATCAGCTAAAACGGGTCGAAAATCCGAGTAGCCCAAGTCAAGCTCGATGTCTTCATGTGCTTCGGTTGCTAACTGAAAACTAAGGATTCTATCCAGATACGTTTTCCATTATAGGTGAATTTTACAATTGTCACTGATTTGTTTTCCTAACCTTTTCGATGTTCCTAAAATGGTTAAGAAGGATGAAAATTGTCAGTTACTACAAGCTAACTACAGCTTAGGAAGGGAGGGGGGGGGGGGGAGGAAGGGAAGGGACTGCTTTTTTTTGCAATCACACACTTGTTGGTTGAGGCCATTGCTCTAGGTTATATTTTTTTGCTTTTTCTTTGGCCGATTACCATGCGGAAAGAAAATGACAAACCTTCCGTAAATGCATCTTTATCAAATCTGCATTGCTTGATTTGTTGAATAGTCGACGTCGGAATTGCTCCACTACCCGTCGCTTATGATTGGTCGACTCGGAAGGAGCTGAAATTTCTATGCTTAGTCCCTACTAAAAATTTTCGCTGTTCATTTCCAGTTAGAGGAACGAATATTGCCAATAGGCGCCCACTTCACTGACTGCTGGTACTTTCGCACATGCTGTAGCATACCAGGTGAGGACTAGTGGTCCACTTCGCGCCAGGACGTTATGTTGCCCTTAGGCCTCGGGCAGAGTTCACGCGATTTTGTCATCGCGACAAGACAAGCTACGAATTCATTGCATGCCGATCTTTTTGTATTTCGGTCGTGATAGTAGTTAGTCACGATCAGGGTTGAGCGTGGGGTCAGGCGCGCCCGACCTGGGGGGTCGTACTGGGGTAAGACAGAGGGGGGGGGGGTGTCGTGATTAGGAATCAAATTCGTTCGATTGAGGAGATACTACGATTAAGGTGAAGAAGAAAAGCGCTAGTTTAGTGGATATCGCGACCTCACCAGTACTGAAGGAATGAACGGTCTTAAACAGCATACTGATTGATTCCACAATCGAAGTTTCGGCCAAAACTCAAATCTTCATCTTCTACCTTGACATATTATAAATTCATCAAGGAAGCTTGCTGTGTGAATGGGTATCATTTCCGAGCACGTCAAATTACCTCTATGAGCCCTACAAACCATTATTTACTGCATTATCTAGTGTTTCTCAACGACTAAAAAGCGTGATTTTCAAACATGATTAACTTGTTTTCAAAAGTGAGAAAAGTCAATTTTTTTGTACTCGTAACAAAGTATTGTTCCCTACTAGTCTAGGCTAAAAATCGCGCTTTTTATCGCTTGCAAATAGTGGAATAAGAAATAATGCCAAAATTTCGATCGGTGCGTTTTTCGCCATGACTGCTTCAACTCCACGGATTACCACAAGGCCGAAACAAGTCGAATCAAGTCCAAACACTTACTGTGGAATCCTCTAGGGTTGTGCTAGCGATTCACATAAAACTTGAATAAAAAACTTCTTCAATGATAAAGTTAATCGGGTCAGGCGCAACCCCACAAAAGGTCAGGCCGCCTGAGCTTTTGAGGGGTTGCGCCTAACCCGATTGACTTGTTTTCAAAATCTAAAAATCGCTCCATTTCTGCTATGAGTATTGAACTCAAAGCCTCTTCTTGCAATACTGCAAATTTGGAGCCAAACAATACACCCCTGTGGGAATCATAGCTCTAAAAGTAGGGCTATCCAAAATCCAAAACTTGCCGTCAAGTTGCGTGTGCTGTGCAATCGCAGAAAGTCCACCTACAGACCTCCAAAAAACAAGAACCTCCCAAAAACGGCTGATCTCTTCGAATTATCACAGCCTAAGGCCCTGGAGGTGAAGCAAAGGGGTCGTTTAGGGGCTTCCACTGGGGGGGGGGTCGTTTTGGAAAGACTTGTGCCTGACCTCTTGCTCAACCCTGGTCACGATTAGTCGTGTTGAAAAATTGTCACAACCGAAATGCAAGAAGATCGGCAGGCAATGATATTATTACAGTTGTCTAGTCGCGATGAATCGCGACGATAATGCGCGAACTCTGGCCGAGGCCTGATGCTTCGCTAGCACGGACATCTGCCACAAATCACGCATCTCAAAACATCGCAGTCCGCACCAGCTGCCCGCGCAGGCGGATCCGTTCGCCGACATCTCTTCGCGCCTAATGGGGTATTTGTTCCTTCACCCTTCGACTCTTACCAGCATCGCAGATCAACATAATTTTGTGAATTTGAGCAAGAACATCAAGCAGTGGATCGGAAATCGGTCGTAGAGACGCTGAACGGACGCTTAGTCCCTCTTGAGGTTTACCGCGACGACGATCCACTGAGCCAGATGAACTGGCTCTCCTATGCTCTGTATCGGCTATGGCCACTCGGCGCCCCTGCAAAAGGCCTCTTTGATAGCGCTATTGGTCCAGGTTGTCTTTGATCTACCGCTCCAGATCCGCCTATTTTTGGCAAAGTAGTGCTTGTTGGTAGGTTTCTGGCCGTTTGTCCAGCTGACAACGATTTGATTTCTAAAAAAGTTTTTTTGAAGGAATTGTCAGAAATTTAGACGTACTCCTCGGCTTGTCAATGCTGTTGTCAATCACTGGAAGGGTATCCTTCGATAGTCTCGCATTCACTTCCGCTGCCGTTGGCCGTCGTCGAGTGAAGCAACCAACTGAGGAGCTTGAGGAGGACTCAAGAGAGGTGTTGTCTCTAGAAGAGTCCCAGTTTGTTGATTAGCGTTACTCAGAGCGGATTTTACAAACGTTCGAAGCGATTTTACGCCCAACCCATTTTTTATCAAAAATAGTACACACCATGCGCGGCATAGCACGCTCATAAGCCATAAATTGCAGATCTCAAGTTGCCCTTTCCTTTCTTCCGTATCCAAGCATACTGAGCGCAAACGTGTGACGCTGCGTCCAAAGTTTTCGTGCCAGCGCGGCACCGGTGAAGACCGGTCAATATCGATATCGATCCGTCGATCAATACCCGGTATGTCTAGAGTCCCGCGGCACTAGCACGTCAGAACAAATTTGTTTACTGATTTTTTGGGGTTCGCGATGGTGCCGCGCATGGTGTAAAAACTCATATAGTGACGATTGATGGCGGAAAAGAGCGAATAATTTGGATGAAAACTAGATAACAATGACAAACTTCTTGTATTTATAAGCTGATGGTGCTTCTTTCGGCTTCCCTTTAGACACGTGAATTCTGAAAATGTCATCCAGACACATCAGCATGTGTGGTGCAGCGATCCGAGCCACTTCAAGTATATCCGGTCTAGCGGACGGCGATACAGTCAAACACGAAGAGATCAGCAGCGAGAGGTCACTAAACACATGCTAAAATAATTCAATTTTTTTCTGACTTGCACACAGGATACGAGCTGCGCTTTTGCGGCGCGTCAACTTCGCCAACGGTCCAAAGGCATTGGAAGCGCTCCGCAAACGACGCAGCAGGTGTGTTGCCTGCATTAGTGACCCAAACATAGTTTCCAATGATTACCTGCTTCGATCATTGCCCAATGGCTCATATCTTCCTTCTACAATCTGAGTAGCGAGCGCTAGCATATTTTGTGAGTAGAAAGGCGGATGGAGAGCAGCCATTTCATAGACGCAGCAACCAAACGACCACACATCTGCCTTCTCACCATAAACCATATTTTGAACGATCTCGGGACTGAAAAAAAACAGAAGTTGGGGTTTATTTTGAAAGATCAAGCAAGGAATATTGTCAAACCTCTTTATCTAATCGAGATGTGTAGCTATTCTCTGTGTACTACTCTCAGTGTATAATAGATGATTTTACATTGAGAATAATAGAGAATATGTCATCGTGTTTGCATGCCTATGAGACCCGAGTGCTCATATTCTCTCTAATGCGCTCCTTAGGCGACTCAAAAGCGTTGCTCGGAGCACTGCCATGCCTATGAGTCGCTCATGCGACCACTAAAACCTTGAATGTTTCTGATTCATCTTTCATACTAGCGTGTTTTTTGCATTAATCTCATTCTCTATTTCTAACGCAAATTGACAGCAGGCTCCCATATCCCTAGCGAGGCCTCCCTGTACGATGTTATGAAAGTGCGTTAAAAGAGCGAGGATGACTAAGCACGTATGGATGTTTTTTCCTTGTAATAACAATGTCGCTGTAGCAAAATGATGTCACTGCGCTCTGTTTCGGCTAGCTGTGAGGGATTGTTTGAATTGACCGAATTTATTACTTCTGCCAATAACTAGCTAATTTCAAGCCCATAGTGTGTTGAGCAAATTTCGACTTATGATGGTGTAAGTAGTGCACAATAAATTTTTCAACCTTATAGCGGAAAATCCATAAGGATGTTTATGTAAACCCACCAGCTGTAGATTATCGTGCCTGCTGCAGATTTCAGATAGTCGCTACCTCTCTTCTTGGCCAAGCCGAAATCCGCTAAAACAGAAAACCTGTAAGCTCAGAAAAACTCATTTTCTCATGACCAGTCCGTAAGTTGTTCTAAATCCAGAAATTCGAAGTTTTGCTTAGATTATTTATGGGTGCTTCCTAGATACTTTATTGATTGTATGAGATTTAGAATAACTAAAATTATTGTGAAGAAACTCACTTATAACGACACGGTCGTTTTCTGCAATCATGATGTTGTTAGGCTTCAGATCCCGGTGGACTATTTGTTTGTCCTTATGTAGATATCGCAGGGCGAGGGTAGTCTAAATAAATAAAAACAAAGCAGTCAATATTAATATTGACTAGTTAAAGTTGATATTGACTTCAATTTCCTTATGAAAGCAGTGTTGCAAAAATGAGGAATGGAGAAAGCGCGAGAGCAGAGGTCAAACATCGTGAGAAAATTTGATAACGACGCCTCCAACCAAGCCCCTTTTCTGGGTATAGGCTTCCCAAGTGAAACTGTTTTGGAAAGTTTGACTAAGCCAGTCACAGCTCGTAACTGGCTGAGATCCTTCGTGCCGAAAAACCAGCTCTAATACGCCCAATACAGAACACGAGGACGCTGATTGGTCCGCTCAGAAAGAGTACGGTAGCAGGGCGAGAGTTCACCGTAGAGTTTTTCCACAACTGAACCGTATAAGCTGCCGCTTGAACTTTTAGAGTATCTGAGCAGGATGTCCAGGTGGCCAGTTTTGGCTGGACACTGTCTTTAGAATGTTGTCGGTGTTGTTTGTATAACTAGTGAACCATTAATCCTAAAGGTGCTAGATTCGCAGGCACGTTCGCTGCCGGAATTGTGCGGTCTCCCGCAATTTCATTTTCAATAGGCACTACGATTCTTCATGTATAGATATGTCCATACCTGGATGACCATGTTCCAAATACGATCTTCTGGAAATGTCTGTCGTTTTTCTCTCACTGAGTTGATGTGTTCTTTTAGTGAAGTGCCTTCAATAAGGTCCATGAGGATGTAAAGTCGATGATTCTCTACAAAAATTCTCCGGTAGCGAACAATATTGGGATGTCTCAGTTGTTGTTTTATTATTTTCACTTCGCTAATGACATCTCCAAAGCTTTTGTCATTGTCCTCGCTAGCGAGCTGCACCATAAAGATCTGCAATATTAGTTTCGATTATTGGTTGATGAATTTTGAACATCGAAGGGTTGTTTACCTCTTTCAAAGCATAATATTGTGCTACACCATTACTAGCCGTTGTACCGGCCTTTCTCGCTGTGTAGACACAGCCGAAAGCACCAGCACCGAGCTGTTCAAGCAGTTCGTAGTCCGCCACTTTACCGATTGGATCGCGCTTTTGATTCACAGACTCCCAACAGGTGTCCAGCTCAGCCAACGACGATGAGCTCTGTAAGGGGTTGACTTTTATGATTATTTCAGAAACTGAGGTTTTGGTAAAAACTCACAATGATTTTGTTGTACTCGGTGACCAATGGACGATAAGACGAGAGGTCTTGCACATAATGGCCAATGTCGATGAACTGCTCGAAAAATGCTGTTGGAAAAACTTTCCGAAACATGGCTCGATTTCTCTCCAGCGAGAACAACATTCGCAGGACTCGAAAGATTGAGCACTGGAATAAAAAAAAATCAAATGGATACTTCCGAATTTATTTTGTGACAACGATTTTGTGCGATTTTGTAACACAGTGTCCAGAGTTGTCATTGGCGACGTTGTGCCAGCGCCGTTCCGTCCAGTGCTAACACCATGTCGGAACTCATGTAGTCGCGCCCCGTATTGATCGAGGTCACGGCGCCGGCGCGCAACTCTGGAGTTAACCTACGGCAAAAGCGGATAAAGAGAAGTGTGGGAGGGAAGAACGAAGTGGAGCACCCCTGTTGTGAGCGGGAGAATAGTGAAGTTTTTGAAAAAGTCCTGCTCAAATACGAACTATGCAGGCAAGTAGTTCCCCCTGCCTTTTGAGAAAATTCTTCCGTCACTGTTGCAATGTTATGGTAGGTATACGGTAGCGGCTAGAGTATTGAGTATAGAACGAAAATCGTGGCTCTTTTTTGAAACCTGGAATCTTAGCATGAATTTTTAGTAATACTTTTTATCGCCCTTTCTATTCCAAGAATAGCATTCCGGTCGATATATCGATTTTCGGGTAGCTCGCTTGTAGCGCGCTCACGTTCTTCCTTTATTCCTAGTAAGCAACAAGTACGCGATAGTTTCGTGGAAATATTTATGCACTTTATTTACGGGGAGGAAGTTACTCCAAATCCGAAATCTGTTTCTTACAGGAAGCGAGTTGCTCCAAAGCCAGAATCTGTTTCTCTTAAATTTTTACGCTAACGTGTCACAAGATATGGAGGGTGGCGAGGAGGGAAGGGGGAAGGTATAAAATGCTCTGATCGCCCTCCGATTGTTTTTTTTTTCAAATCAGAGTTGTCACAACTACGTCAGCAATTATCACCTCGACTACTCTCCCCTTTGTACATCTCAATTCCACAAATTAAGTGTCAAGTAGTTTTAGGTAGGCTTTCGGACTAACCTGCGTACTCTTCCAACTTTGATTTTCTTGCAGTCGTTCATCTTCGGTACCCAAGAGTAGCGCTTTTCCGAGCAAGTAAACTCCATTGTTCGAAACAAGTTGGCGCTGGTTTGAATCACATTGGCAGAGCTGAGCCAATAGGGCACACAGTCCTCAAAGAACACAATTGTTCGTCTTGAAATTCTATGATAAGCATTTCAAGAAATTGAATCAGTCATTATAAAGATCTCGAATCTATGAAAGGTTCATACCCTTCAAGTTATTTGAATAGCCTTTAAACTTCAGGAGCGTTGTGAAAAATTTGATAGAAGTTAACCTACCAGTAAGCATTGCTACCCAGTCATTCAGTGCTTTTGCAGGTGGTTTTAATGTTGCAAATTCGGCTAACACGAGTGAGATTCCACCAAGCTGGACGATCTGAATAGTGGGAATACTTTTTACATTTTCGAATAATAGCTTATTGAATGTCCGGATTCTAATTTTTTGAGACTTGCAAGTTTTGGTATTCCCTTCCACTTTATATTTTGGTTCTCTGGGTATTTAGTATGGACGCTGATTCATGACTTGACTAGACACTGCATCAGATGCTCGCCCACCTCGACTGATGTTTCCGCGTCCTCGGCGAGCTGCGCTAATGACCACGCGACATGCCACTGTAGGCGTGAATTTTTTATGGACAACAGCCTTAAAACCAAATCTGCATGATTAGCGTAGAATTGAGTCTAACTACTCACCCTACAAGAATAGGCACTCCATCATAAATCCGAATTTGTTCTCGAGCTTGTTCCTCACAAGACAGAATTCGGAGCAGGCTTACGCATAGTCTAAAATTTTAGCGAGGCCACTTTGAAGGTGGAAAATATTTTCTATCCATAGATTCAAGACTGTATTATTGATCTCGTTTGAATAATCAATTTTCTTTATAAGACCCACTTTTGTGTTAGCAAATCTCCCTGTGGAATTAGTTGTAGACATATGTCGATAGCAGTTGTAGCACAGAGTTCGACCCGACAAACAGCCGACCAATCTGCCAGTCTTCCAAGGATCTGTGTATAAGAAAGGCTCTCTAACAATCTATTCTCTTGCTTACAGATGATGCTTGACGCAGAGAACGCACAAGCACATCGCGGAAGGCTTTAGCTGTCTGCGTCTCTTCCCATTGCGTTATCTCTCGCAATGAGCGTCAGCACACGCGCCGTCGCCGCCCACCTTGTAAGGCGCCTGCGTTGGGTGACTCACCCATCTTTTTTGGTAAATCGAAGGAATTGTTACCTCTAGCGCTGCTTGCTGGATGGACATATCTCGACAACTGAGAAAACGCAGCATGCATTTGGCCAAATGTACCCGAACGAACATCGATGCGGTCTCCGCATCATGAATTAGCTTTTGTGTGACATCTGAATTTTCAATGGAAGTTTCGCAAATTGAGAAGATTCACCTACTGAGAAGTAATCCAGCAGCCTGAGCATACTCTGTTTCATAGTTGAGGAAATTTCTAGAGAGGTAACCAGCAAACTGTAACGACACTTCGATAAGGTTGGGATCGTCAAACTATTTAGGTTGTACCTGTACATAATTATGATGTTCTTTGACCGCGTGAAAAACATTAATGCATCCACGGTCGCGGAACAGAGTCCGAGCTAATCGCAGCACTTGCGAAACTGATTTACGATTTGGGCAAGATGCCGTCCATTTCCTAAAACATAGGGCAAGGTTGTTTCGAAGGAATATGGGGTTTTTAAATCATTGTACATGTGTGCAATACCGGCAAAACTGAATGGATGGTCACTTGAATTCTTGTAAAATTAACAGAATTTGCAGGCGTTTTGTTGGGGTGGAGAAAGTTATCATCAGAGTTTTATGCACGCTTTGAAGATGCACAGTCACCAACAGCCTTACTGAAATTTCCGTCATACACTTAGTACTATTTTCCGGAACCAAGGAAGAGAAAGTCAGTGAAAGGGATCAAAAAACTCATTTTGAGACTGTAAAAGAGCGGATATTCCGAAATTTAGCAATTTGTGGCCCATGTTGCAATACTAACAATAAGAATACAGCACAAGCGAGAGGGATTCGCGATCTAGAATTTTATGAGATAGCTAAAGTAGTAATGAAGTATTTGACTGAGTACGCAAATGAAGGCTAAATCATCATCATTCATCAGTAAAATCCCCGGTTGCGGAGATTTTTTTATTCTACTCTCTTAAGTAACAAAACATTTCAGAAACTCGAACGATAAAATTTTACAGGGATTAGTCAACAGCAGAAATGACATATATAGTTTTTCCGGTGTTTTGGGACTATCGTATATCTACGGCGGAGAAAACCCCCAAAACTTGCAAAACTTTGCATAAAGCGATTTCTGGCTTGTTGATCGCAAATATCATATCCGCTCATTTTATGGTAGATGTACAGAAGAATCCTCCTACTTTGTTACTGTAACGAGTGGACGACGTTTGTGATCAACTTGCATCATCCCGATCCCCCCCCCCCCTCTTCCCTTCCTCCACCATCTATACAAGTCTCACCAAATGTTAGATCTGATCACGCACTATAGTCTATTCTATCTCGCTAAAGAAACCTATTATTCAAAGTGATTCTCCTTTTTGCAGGGCCTGGCACCAGCTGGCACGGGACAAGTTGGATATCGTTTTTGGGGCAAAAAGCAAAGGGGGTTTCGTTTTTGTGGACGAAGATATACGCAAAATTGGCGACGGCGACCTTTTTTTTAGTCGGCGTTCGTTTTTGGGGTTTTTTTTAGGATTTTAGAGGGGATATAGTTGATAATCAAACGGGACTTCGTAAAAATTCCCAAAAGTCAAGGAAAACTTCGTTTTGAAAATTTCCTGGTGCCAGCTCGTGCCGAGCCCTGCCTCTTGGTGATTGTCATCTAAGTAATCCTTCAATGAATATTGCGAAGAAACTCGTGGTTCCAAAATTTTGGTTTGGAGTGGAACGGCAATTTTTTGAGAGTTTGAGACCATCCACCTGTTTGGTTTCTTTCTTTTTTCTCTCTTCTGTCTTCCTACATGTTCATCATTCTCTTTTATGATTCGGATAAACACGCAGCATCGGTAATCGAAAGGGAGTTTTCAACTTCTTCATTCATAACATACTGATAGAACTCACAAGCTACATAATCTCCTTTTCGTGAGCGCTTCGGTAAGCTTTGCTGCTACTCCGCTCGAAAATAGTTGTGCACATGTCGATTCTGTGAGGGTTTCCCTGAATTCAATGTCTTTCATTCCTTGCTCATCATGAATTCATTTTTCTAAAGAAAAGCAATATAGACGAATCTAAATTACATTAGACGGTTTGTCCATTCCCGATCAAATATCAAGACTACTGTAACCACTGGTAGGATATGGTACTTATAGAATCCACTTACAAAAGCGCTGTGATTGCTTCGAGCTCATGCCGCACATCCGATGGCGTTTGTTGTTCTTGAGAAAGGCAATAAAGTACTTGGGCAATTGGAGTTCCCATTTGGGAAATTGGCTATAGGGAGTTCTCGGAGTGAATATGTATATGGTTTACAAACATTTATTTAGAGAAATTCTTTCCAACGGTATCACCTCTATCCACGACCATTTGAATATTTGGGAGTAATCACCTGGAAATATGATGTTTTGAAGGAGAAAGGCAGTTACGAAGCGATGATTATGATATGATTGTACGTTTATAAATTACTAATGATGATGTGGTAAAGCTCGCACGTTGCAAGTAAACCGCGGACATCTGACAAAAATCGTACGTCTTCAGGACCTGCACTTTGTGTGAGTTGTCCTTGTGGGCGGAGCCTGATGTGGGTGCAACGGCCACTACCATAATTTGATTGTGTTTTGATTCGAAATGTTAGGATTAGGGAGAAGACAAAGCCTTAGTGAAGCCTGATTACGAGATTTGAGATGTATCGCCAAACTTTTTCAATGGATTAAACAGCAAAAAGACAAAAATAATCTAGAACTGGGAATTTTCTTAATGCGTGACTCATTTTCATAGAATCTCAAGCAAGACGTTGCAAATCAAGCAAAAAAGGAGATGACCATCTACCCAAAAAGTTTAAATAACCTCCTAACAGGAGAGTAGAAAAGAACCCCAAGTGCAAATAAATTGTAGCCGAAAGAAAACAAAAACAGGAACTTCTTTGCTTGAAAGCAGTAGTTTTCTATTGTCGAAGTTGATCGATGTTGTGAGGCCGTGTATCACCCCGGCAACGCCCGAGGGTTGTTTCCGTCGTGCTTTTGCTATCCAAGTGAACTTTCGCTACTGGCAAATTATACGCCCTCGCTAGGTTTTTGATAGCATTTCCGTCCAGAGGAAGTCATTTTCTGCAAATGTTTTGATTTCCTGAAATTATGGCAACAACGATCAAAGTTGAAGGTTTGATGGTTTGTCAAAATGGAGGTTTAACTTTGAAATGAAGAAACAATTGCGTTAAAAACCTGCTTACGGTATCTTCGGAGTAATACTTGCTTCAATATTTGCTTAATTAAAAATAATCCTCAATGCTTGAAGATGGGATACTAGCTTCTCTAACATTCTTGCAATTATTGAACCAGATTCTGAATTCCACCATTAGTTGCAGGACTTTTTTTCCAGGGTCCTTATAATGTCTCATTGGTTCAATCCTTACGCAGCCGTGCCTGCCAACCTTTTATTGGAAAGAACGACCTAGTCAAAAAAAAAGGAAAAAAACGTCGGTTTGAAGCTCGAGAAGGAAATCGCATAAAGATTGAGGTTTGGTGGGTTCCTATCAGCTTGCGGTTCCTATGGTTTACTGAAAAAACAGTGGACGACTAGACTTCTGAAAGTTTGCGGTCCTCCAATAAGTACAATTAACGTATCCTGCGAGGAACATGAATAGCATGTCGAGAATCCTTAAGAAAAAATCGTAAGCGCCGGGGAGTAATTCGAATGCTGCAATTCACCCTGGCGACTTATCACGAACACCGGTTGCAGAGAGCTTTGTGGAAGGTCTTCAACAGCGCGAGCAATCAAAGATCTTGGAAGCAGCCGAAGTAACCCAAGGGATGCTACATTCTTTAGCAGCACTAACGAAGAAAGTTATCTACGTCTAATCAAGAAAATGTAATCTAAGAAGTTTTTTACCAACCCTTCCTTCTCATCATTACTCTATCCAGCCTTGTTCCTTCAATAAAGTACAAGCGTGCCGCGAACCATGAACCACATATCTAGAATCAGATCACCTTTCTCTCGAGCTTCTGCTGACTGAAGAACACCGTTTACACAAGACCCTTGAGTCGCATTTGAGCTCTTGTATCCAGGAAAGCATGAGCAACAGAAACCTTTGATTAAAGCTCAACGCCTGCTGGTTGTTACCGCGAAGGATGTGGAAACAGAGCGATAGTACTGAGTAGAGAAATCGCTAGATCGAACTATGTTGTCTAACAACCGTTTCTTGGTAATTGTTATATGATAGTATGCCAGTCCCAGGTTTGTACGGTGAAAACCCTCATTAGTACCACGTTTCGACAAAATCGTCTTCGTCGGAGGCTTGAAAGTACATCTGAACCAATCGGGATCAGGCCGAACCTTCGGCTGATTTTGCGCGCTCGCAGGGGTGTGGTGCGAAAGGCGACAATCCCCAGTTTTGTGCCTATCAGAAACTCCCCGGTGTCAAAGTGACAGCCCGGGGGACTACGAGGGTGGGGGTTAGATAAATTACTCAATGCCACAAATAGAAATCCATGAAAGTCATTGAGACGGATGATACACTGCCTCCATTTTTCGCCGACTGTCGCCTTTCGCGTGCCCCCCCCCCTCCCGCTTGCAGCGCTAGGGGTTTGCGCTGCATAGCGCTGTCGCAGAGAGCGAAGAGATTGAGGAGAGAGCAGACTAGCTAGACGCAGAAGTGGCGCGAAACCCTCGCGACGCGCACTCCCGCCAAGCCATTTTTGACCTGGTTAGGATTGGAGCAGATGTAGATTGCAGTGTTATATCTGCGAGATCAAACCGCCAAACCCTCCTTGCACTGCGAAGTCTAGACCTTGTACTAAGATACTCAGCGTACTAAGATAGGTTTATAGGAAAACGAAACTTTATCCGCTTTGATGAAAGTCAGTAAAGTCAGCACTCAACCACCCAAAGAGGCAGATTACTCTGAGTTTTGCTCAGCGATCAACGGTTATATAAGTGCAGGCTATTTATCACAGATTCCGATAGGGAAGAGTTCGGTTGTTGTCGATGCGCATTCATTTCTATTAATCATGTTGCTCACTGAAATAGCGCCGTTATGCGTTCCAATTTTATGTCTTTCCATAGTAACATCGCATTTGCTCGTTTATTAGGAAAGATGCTCCTCCTAACGTTCAGCCACCCGTTTCCCCAATATACAGTGACCGCCAAAAAGTTGCAGACAAGCAGCCCTCCTTTCTTCGTCGCTCATTTTCAGATGGCAAATAAGGATGAAGAGATCAGATTGCATGAGATGATAGAGCTCTTCACGAACTACAACCCACATATTACGCTTCTTGGAAAACATGAATTCTAAATAACTTAGAACTGTTTTACCAAAGAAAGTCCAAAGGCCGCGTCACGAAGCGGACAACAATTCTTCAAACGCAAAATTCCTTCTGGGTTCTTTTTTTCGAGCGAAAAACAAGTAATCCAAACAAATAAACATACTATCATACAGAGCTCATCAAGGGCTATGACCTGGTTATGGCTACTTCCTGAAAAAGCACAAGCTTGGATTTTTTGCTTTTTTTTTGAAACTAACTTCTAATTCCCTCTTCCAAACCAAATTTGCTCACCTAAAAACTGATGCAAAACATCCTAACAAAGCTTCCCAGATAAGGTGGATGTTCTTTACCATTCTCTATGCATCTGACGTGTGCTACCTTCCTTGCTAAAAAGGTTCCTGGTGCGGTACAGCATCTCGCCTGCATCTCACCAATGACTTATACCAATTTACAGGCTGTAGCTCGGCCGGCAATCAATCTACGAGCCTGTATTTAGGCTCTTTAGAAAGAGCGTGACATTCTCGACACGACGGTATGCAAATGAGTTAAGTTTGAGAAATCTCGGAGATTTTACGGAAAAAGGTGTGAAAAAGCGCAGCTTCAGTGGTGGGCTAAGTGTCGCGGATTGGGCCCCCAGCTCCCAACGTCAGTGGTGTTACGGCTCTCCTGCATCGGCGAGGGGAGCCGGGGGTCCGCACCGTGAGAATAGTGAAGCGTAACGTGTGAGGTGGCTACCTGGCTGTGTGGCTACCTGTGCAACTGCTCTGTGGGCCTGCCACATGGGAACTTCATACACTCTTAGGGGCCCTTGCCACCAGCCTGCTTAGTAGCGATTCGTCACTTGGGACTCGACCTATTCTTCCAGCCATCGACAGCTGGGGCGCGTACTCCTAACCGTGACACTTAGCATGCATCGTGCCAGCCTTCCTACAGATGTTACCCACTAGGCTTGATTACGAAATACACACAAAATGATAACACAATATTCCGGAGCCACAGTCGAGCTGTGGTCACCGCTCCAACACATATCACACCTGCACAATGCCCACCATTTATCCGCAAACTTATCCCTACACTCAAACATACAGGATGAGCACAACCGACCAGATGTTAGCCTAGGGGTCGGCAATATCGGAAACCCCCCGAGGCGGTGTCGCCGGCGTGTGCCAGGTGCGAGCGCGCTCGGGGTTACCTCGTAGCGTGGGAGCCAGTCCTCCGTGGCGTTGATGGAAGCGACGCGTGAGATGGGGTAGCGCTGATCGATCGATGGCTTGAGACGATTGGAACCCGACCGCTCACTGTGACGGCAGCTGCGAAGAATGACTACGTGACTTATTTAAACGCCGCGCAGGTGAGAGAGGTGAGAGGCGGGACAGCGCGAGGACGGCGTTTTGGGACCCTTCGCGAGGCGGCGGCGGCGACCTTTGAAGGAAGTCGCGAATCCGCGACACTCCGGGCAACGAAAAGAAAGGGTCCGAGGTAGCTCCCGATCTGCCACGTTACCTACGACCCTACGAGTCAAACATACATACAAACCTACGAGTCAAGAATCCCTAGGTGGAACGCGGGACCTACAGCCTGTCGTGGTAACAGCCGGTTGTTCTCGGAGGTAAGCATGAAGAGTCGTCGGGGGCTCTACTCTGGATACTGGCGGGCTTCTTCGGCAGTTGTGGAGACGATGGTTGCGTTGAACGGCAGTTGAGGTGACCATTTACGTGACCATTGACTCGACAGTTGCGGCATCGACAGCTTGAACGGACCATGGAACTCGGCTTGACGTGGATGTTCGGCTTGACGTGACAGCGGCTCGACATTGGTGACGTTGAAGTGACGATGAGTTGGCAAAAGATGTTAAATTTGCCTACTGGCGCGGTTTTTCACGCCGGGGGGTGAATTCAAAGCGAGGGGGAGATTTTACCTCGCAACACAAGACCCCTGGGGCGAGACACATGCGAAAGGGGGCATCCCGAAAACTCCAAAAATGACACGGTCTCCCACCGTGGCCCCAAAAACTCGTGCATTGGGAAGTAGACACTTGGGATACACGTCAACTGCGGGCTAACCTAAAATAGGGTCAGCAACAAAAACTGGGCGAGCTTAAGGCCCGCCAAAAACCACAAAATCAAAAGAAAAAGAAAAGAAAATAAAAGGGTACGAATAAAATAGTTAAACTAAATTAAACATACCCAAAAATCGTCAGTTGGGGCTATCGTCACGTGGACTCGAAACTTGGGGGATCCTTATCCTCAATCTGAACAAATAACATTAATAAAGGAATGAAAGTTGGGGGGTGAGCGCGAAGCTTCACCAAAAACTCGCAAGTTGGGGAAACGTAACCTGAGGCTAATGATCATGAGGCGAGGCATCTCTTCTCTGGGGCTGACGATCGTGGGGCGAGGCGTCTCTCCTCCGCTCTCTCCTGGCTCTCTGTCGCCTGCGCATGTCAGCCATTGCCTTGTACTGGTCAAGGGTGGTGAGGTATTCGTCATATGGGATATCACAGGTACAGTGGTGCTGTTTAAAGCAGAATGAGGTGTCGTGGTCCTTAGAGCGGCACGACCGGCATCTCCTGCCATAGCGAGGGCAGTCTTCCTCGGCATGGATGCCACAGCACAAGAAACATCCGCCCCTCCTCGCATTCAGATCCATCCTCTCACTCAAAAGAGTGTAGTTGGGGCAACTGGAGGAGTAATGGCGCTGCCTGCAGAAGTAGCAGCGGATGTTCTCGGGCGGTGTATCCGGCCTCCTCTGCT